TCTCTTTCTGACAGTCCTGTCATGGGCAAATCAAGCTCTGGGGAGGACTGTGTTTGCCCACCTTATGGTGAGCTGGCCGTACCCTGGCCGGAAAATCAGCTCTGGAGCAGTGTATCACTGACATCTGGTTACTTTACAGGTTGGCAATACGGAACACTATTCAGCATCTGACTGGATTGAGGACATCAAATTGGCTCAAGAGGCCCAGATCGATGCCTTCGCCCTCAACATGGCCAGGGGTGAGCCAATGAACGCCAAAGCCATCGCAGATGCCTTCTCAAACGCCGAGGCACTGGTTTTCAAGCTCTTTTTTTCTTTTTCTTTCGACCACTTTGGACGTGGCCCTTTCTCCAAAGACGAGGTAGTCTTATGGATCAACAAGTACGCCTCTAGCAGTGCTTACTTCCGGCACCAAGGAAAACCCTTTGTCTCGACGTTTGAAGGCCCTGATCAGGCTGAAGATTAGCACGACATCAAAGCTGCAACTGGCTGTTTTTTTTTTTACCGGATTGGTCTTCTTTAGGCGCTGGTCCTGCTGTACGAGCAGCTGGTGGTGTAGCAGATGGCCTCTTCAGCTGGGCCAGCTGGCCATGGGGAGCTCAGGACATGGAGACCTATGTCGATGCCTCTTACACTGAGGCTCTAAATAGCAAGCCATATGTGATGCCTGTATCCCCATGATTCTATACCAATCTTCCTGGATATAATAAGAATTGGATGTGGCGTGGCGATCGCCTATGGTTTGACCTTTAGATCCAGGTCAACACCCTTATGCCTGAGTTCGCTGAGATCATTTCACGGAACGATTACGGAGAAAGCCATCACATCGGACCAATTCGGGACCACGCTCCAGTGCTGATCATGTTGAGGCAGGTATGTCGGTAGACGTCTCTACCATAAGCGCTGAGATGGGCAGGGAGCTCTGCAAGCGTGCGGGCCCCATAGGTGTCTGTCTTCATATTTTGCAATTATAGATGTATGTTTGGGGGACGGAGATGTTGAAAGAAAGGATCGTGTGGGTAAGCAAAGCAACTTGGAAGGTGAGTACGTGCTTGATGCTGAGAGACAAGTATCAGTACCTTGGTACACGGATAGGCACCTTACACTAAGTACCGGGCCAGGGCCTTAAGGGGTTAGAACTTGGATGCAGGTAAGGTACGGATAAGATAAGTAGGTACGGAGCACTGCGTAGTATTGGTTAGAAAGCGGTCCATCTTAGTTTCTGGTGGCTGGTTCGTATCGTCCGCTTTAACGCACGTGATGCGTAATGCAACTACAGAAAGTGTATCTTGCATAGACGTAGTAATATAGAAGAAATAAGAGGACCAAGACGAGTGCCCACGTCAAAATATATTGCGGCAAGTTTTTCCAAAGTGTTAGTTACCTATATAAGTCTAGAAGATGATCCAACCTGATGCATAGGATGACAACTAAGCCGTCATACGCATACATTGTGTTCAAAGGGATGGTTCGGTCTCAACGCTTTTCCCCGCATGGCGCGGGGTAGGGATCGGAGGGCACCATAGGGAGGAAGGCAAACACCATACCTTCTGCTTTTCCTTCATACAACAGATGCGATATCCCCGGTGATTTTTTTGAAATGTTAAGGTTCATTGAACGTTCCGCCCTGTTGTTCTGCGGGGGCACCTTGGTGGCTGGATTCGGTCCCGACAGCCATCAAAACCCACTTGTATTTCGGACCTGTCTCCCGGCGGCGGAACATGCTGCGAACAATAACGCCGTCAACAGCTTCCCGGATTGCAGCCGAGACCCGCTCTGCTCGAACGACGTATGCGATGAGACCCTCTCGCCGAAAGAGCGGGCCGCAGCGCTGGTAGCCGAGCTCACGATCTGGGAAAAGTTGGATAACCTTGTGAACGAGGCGCCTGGCGTTCCGCGACTCGCCATTCCGCCGTATGAGTGGTGGTCTGAGGGCCTTCACGGAGTCGCGTCGTCCCCAGGTACCAAGTTTGCCAAGAGCGGCAACTTTAGCTACGCGACTTCGTTCCCGCAACCGATTGTCTTGGGCTCGGCTTTCGATGACGACTTGGTCAGAGCTGTCGGGGAAGTGGTCAGCAAGGAGGCGAGGGCGTTCAACAACCGCGGCAGGTCCGGCCTCGATCTCTACGTAAGCTCAACATCTCGCCACATTGAAACTGAATTGCGGGATGATATGCTAACTGAGCCGAGTCCCCGAATATCAATGCGTTCAAGGATCCTCGTTGGGGCCGTGGTCAGGAGACTCCCGGCGAGGACCCCTTCCACCTACAGAGCTACGTCGCAGCTATGCTCACAGGACTTGAAGGAGAGGATCCTTCCAAAAAGCTAATAGCGACATGCAAGCACTACGCAGCTAATGACTTTGAGAATTACAAAGGTGTCGACCGCGCGGGCTTCGACGCAAACATCACCACCCAGGACTTATCTGAGTACTATCTTCCGCCCTTCAAAACCTGTGCAGTTGACAAGAAGGTCGGTTCGTTCATGTGTAGCTACAACGCCATCAACGGAGAACCCCTCTGCGCAAACCCCTACCTTCTGGAGGATATCCTCCGTCAGCATTGGGGTTGGAACGGGGATGGGCAATATGTCTCAACGGACTGCGATTGTGTCGCTCTGATGGTGTCGCATCATCATTATGCTCCGGACCTTGGACACGCGGCGGCCTGGGCGATGAAAGCCGGCACCGATTTGGAATGCAACGCATTTCCTGGTTCAGAAGCCTTGCAACTCGCTTGGAACCAGTCCCTCATTTCCAAAGAGGAGGTCGACAAATCTCTCACGAGAATGTATACAGCGCTCGTATCCGTTGGCCAGTTCGATTCGGCCCAAGGGCAGCCGCTGCGCTCGCTGTCGTGGGACGACGTGAACACGAAGGAGGCGCAGAAGCTTGCATACCAAGCAGTCATCGAAGGCACTGTGCTCTTGAAAAATGACGGGATACTACCCTTGTCAGCTTGGCGTGAAAAGAAGTATGCACTCATCGGTCCCTGGATAAACGCAACGACGCAGATGCAGGGTAACTACTTCGGTCCTGCACCGTACTTGATCTCACTCTACCAGGCCGCAAAGGAATTAGGGTTGGAATTCTCTTACTCTTTGGGCTCCAAGATCAACAGCACCGATGATTCGTTTCAACAAGCGCTCGACTCAGCCCACGCTGCTGATCTGATTGTTTTCGCAGGCGGCGTCGACAACACACTGGAAGCTGAGACTCGCGACCGCAAGACATTAGCTTGGCCTGAACCCCAGCTTGATCTTCTTCGCGCCGTGTCCGAGCTTGGGAAGCCTGTCATCGTGCTTCAATTCGGTGGAGGGCAGATTGACGATACCGAGCTCCTTGCTAACGACTCTATCAATGCGCTTCTATGGGGTGGATACCCAGGCCAGTCAGGAGGAAAGGCCATCCTTGATCTCCTATTCGGCCGTGCCGCGCCTGCTGGTCGACTCTCGGTTACGCAATATCCTGCGTCCTACAACGAAGACGTCCCATCAACGGACATGAACCTTCGACCCGGTCCAGGGAACTCGGGGTTAGGGCGCACTTATATGTGGTACAACGGTGACGCAGCTGTGCCCTATGGGTTTGGTTTGCACTACACGACATTCGACGTCAAGTTGAAAGCGAGGCGGGCGTCAGCCCTTATCAAAACGGAGGAAGTCTCTTCCCTTTTGAGCAACGACCATTTCTCGGGAGCCTTGACGTGGCAGCAGATACTGACGAAACCTGTCGTCAGCGTCTTCATTACAGTATCGAATACAGGCAACGTGGCCTCGGATTATGTGGCATTGTTGTTTTTGAGATCCAACGCTGGCCCAACCCCTCGACCGACGAAGACGCTTGCAGGGTATCACCGCTTCAGAAACATACAACCCGGAGACAAGTCTGAGAGAGAAGTTTCAATTACAATTGAACGTCTGGTCAGAGTTGATGAGCTGGGAAATCGGGTGCTACATTCCGGGTCTTATGAACTGTTTGTGGATTTGGACGAAAAGTCGACACATGAATTCAGGGTCGAAGGCCCTTCAGTGATGGTCGAAGAGTTTCCGCAGCCTAGGGATCGCAATTAGGACTGATCTTAGTCGAACCTATCAAAAACTTTTCTGAAACTTATGGAGGGTCTAGGTAGAACATACATGCCCATGGCTAGGCCGGATGGTCTTTTTGGGCCTGATCAGCCGATGTGACTGACTATGAGATGAATTGGATAACTACTCAGACGGGCGACAAGTCTGGCCACCGTAGCATCAAACCAGAATAAAGCACCTGAAATTACCTAAATTTTATTAGTGACAAGTATGGATTGATTTCTGTCTCTCATACTATGTAGTAACTTCTATGTTAATAAGCAACCCATGCCTGTCCGATTGGAATGAATAGAGGAGGCCAAACAGAGTCTCATCCAAACTCAACAAACTCAACACCAGCTCAAAACAGAAAAATATTATGGTTAGTGATGTAAGGGAACCATGCGAACTAGGGTTTATTGTAGTTCAGTTGTAAAACCATTAGTGGGAATCTAAGTTCGTATTTCGCCCGCATTATTCCTCTTTTACTAGCAGAGCCTTTGTTCTATCGATGATAAGAAGTGCTCACATTAAGAAGTAATGGACGTCATTACTGGAAGTATGTAGGGTAGAAGGGACCTATGCGGTGCAGTGACTCAGAGAGAGAAACAATAATAACCCTAAAGGCAGCACAAGATGCTTCCTCGATCGGTGCAAGCTTGCCTCGATCGAAGGAACTAAGAGTCCTCGATCAGAGCAAGGTCTGTCCCAATCAAAGGAGCAGACTTTCCCAATCATCTTATGTTATCACGTCCAATTAGCCATCATAAGAAAGGCTCCTAGCTTAATCAAACTAAAAGGTAGGTCTCTTAAAAGGAGGAAAAGTTCGTTTTGTTCTGTCTTGTCTACTTACTTCTAATTAGCCCATATCTTATGCTTGCCCTCCTGATTGGAACTATGTTACTCCTCCGCTGTCTTCCTCCGATCGAGACTTCCAGTAATATAGTAGAGCTGATTGCCCCACCCTGTTCCAATATACAAACAACAACTTGGTAGACAGGTTTCAATCTCGGTCGTGTTTGGACTATGAAGGGATATGATCTATGGCAAGACATGGCCGAACGATGGAGTGCATTCCCGTCTAAAATACACTTTCTTGCATGTAAGTAATCTGTGCTTCCCGATATTCATCCTGTGCAAGATATCTTAAGGTAGTGTGATTGGCATCAAACACCAGGTTATGCGGCTGCCCAGGCGTGTATTGTGGCCAAGTGGCGCCGTTAATCTTTTGATGATCGAAATCATTCGGATCATTATTGTGAATGAAAGCAACCCACATGCTGCTCATGAGGCCAGCCAGCTCAATGTAAGATTGGGGTTTCCCCTCAAATGGGTTGGTGGCGTAACCAAGTCCCCGGACGTTGTTGAACACGAATGCGACCTCCTGAAAGTGTGTAGCGCCATAGATAGGCTCGATGCCGTTTACATAGACATCCCACATGTACGAGTACACTGGCAATCCGGCCCCAGCATAGGAGCTTGCAAGGAGCCTTCTGCCGCTATGTTGTTGGTAGTCTCCCGCAACCGCCGCCACGCGCTTCCACTGAGAACCAAAGGGGGCGAAATCCCCAGAAGGACGACCTGGGTACGATGCGGGGATGCCCATGTTCGGGTCGTCTAGATACAACTCCGAGATGGCGGCAATCTGAGTAGTATTGACCTGAAAACTGGTTGCGAGCCATGTTTCAAACTCTTCCGTAGTGTTGATACCCTGCTTTGAGTACGCGGTACCTTCGTCAAAGTTGTTCCCAAGAAGAAGCGGAACGGCGGCAAATTTGCCTTGTCGCAGCGGGGTCGACGCTTGCGCCGTGATAAAGTCGCCGTCCACGACAGCGCTAATCCCGGGAGGAGTGATCCCTAAGGGGTTTGAGCCGTTGAAGATCCCATTGAGAGTTTGCCATGGCAGTGCTTGCAGGCAGCTTATCCGCGCAGCCGAACCGCCGTCGGCGCATCCCGTTTTCCGTAGGAGGGCATCGAAGTAAGGTTGCCAGGCATCCGCATTGACGAATCTGGCGACCGGGCTACCACTTTCGAGGATGGCGCTTCGGAATAGGCTGTCATGCTTACCGTCATAGGCAATGAGCTGCATTCCAATGGATCGTGCCCCAGCGGACTCGCCCCAGACAGTCACCTTGTCAGCACTGCCGCCGAATGGTACAATGTTTTCTTGAATCCATCGCAATGCTAGACGTTGGTCTTTGAATCCGATGTTGCCTGCCTTGCTATCTTGCAGTTCTCGACTGAAGAGAAATCCCCAATATGAGAGACGATAGTTAATGGAAGCTGCAATTATGGGCTTGTTCTCCTTGACGGACTGGTCGACAATGTAGCTGAGGTTGTATCTGGGGTCGCGAGACCCGCCGTTAACATAGCTCTGAGATGACCACAGTCAGCGATACTTCGTTGTTCCGTCGAAAATTCCTCAATACCTACACCACCGTGAATCCAAAGACCGACGGGAAGATCGTCTCCTGGCTTCGTTCCGGCTGGGCGAACAATGTTGATCGTCAAGCAGTCCTCTGAAACCGGGTTTCCGAGACTCGAGGTATCGGAGCCGTATCCAATGCACATCCAGCCATACTCAGTGGCAGACACCGGTTCTTCAAATGACTCGTTCAAAGGTTGAGGGGGTGCGTAGCGGAGGGACCCGATAGGAGGCTGCGCATATGGAATGCCTAGAAAGAAGTCCTGCGCATAGTGTTTGTTCCGCACGCCCACGAAGGTTCCGTTTGCGAGGCGTACGGAAGGAGGCGAAACGTTATGGTTCTGGACTACTGGTGTGAGACACTCGGATGGGTCCGAGCCCAAGAGGAGCGCCAGAAGGAGTTTAAACACATGTGGCCTCATTCTGGGCGGTTTCAACACAGCCGAAGGATTCTCACTGCTTCTAGATATCGAAGGGAAGGGAGTGAGTGGCTAGCAACGGCGTGTCTTACCTCAATCACAGGATATCAGATACTGCACCTTCAAGTTGCCTAGCTAGACAGGATTCGATTCTGGAATAATTATCTCACGTCCTCCATAATACCCTTGAAATTCCCTCTGACCTCATGACCAGAAACTACGGCCATACACTTCCGCTGGAGTGGAGGCTACTAGCCGATTTAGATACGTTACGCCTGCTCTCGGCGGCACCGTTGGCCAGCCCTGACGGATAATTTTACCCGTAGATAACAGCCTATGACAATGCCCATTGAGATCTCGGAGTCCATGTCGACATTGTGGGGTCTGAGATGTGCATGGATCGCGCAGTTCTGGGAAGGGCTCGCATCGCTCGCACCAGAATACCGGGCGACTCACTTCCTTTTCCGGCTTAGCAATGAGTGACTATTGGACTCCCAAGCCGCTACTAACCCCATGTCGGTTGGCACTTATGTAAAACCAAGATTCTACCCCGCTCGGTAAACAAATACCTATTTGGGCCCGGCACTTGACCACCTCGGTATACCCCAACGTGCAGCTGATTGTGTGGGGGAGGACCAAGTTGCTGTTTCTACTGGGTTAGTCGTCCGACGGTTCGGAGAAGAAGAAAAACCCATTGGATTCCCGTTGAAGAAACTAACCGTTCGTTGGACAGCTACTTCAATTTCGTTGTACTTCTTTATTTTCTATTAAAGGATAGGGGATCGCGGAAGTACGTGTCCAGAGACCACGCCACCTCAATGGGCACAGGATGGCTGTTGATAGACCAAAATAATATATCTGTACTTTCTAGTCCGAAATGGGAAGTTGTTGCGATGTTGACCATCGTCGATAACTATCAGAGTTATCGCCTTAAATCTAATAACTAATTATCAGCTAATTCTTAAATAATCAGACTATAGATCTACTAAGAATTCGCAGTAATTAACTAGCTATTAAACAAGCTAACCTATAATAGTTATCTTTCCTTTTTTTTTTTTTTTTTTTTTTTTACGTATAATAGAGATTATCATTTACCCCTAACATCTGTCAATTACCACTAATACGCACAGTTAACTGTATTACTAATACCCTGGTGAATCCAACAGAAGTATATATTTCGACGTTATACCAAAAGAAGCAAGCCCGGTGTTACAGCTAGTTCAAGACGCATATACTCCCTTTGGCTACCACGGAAATATGAGCAAATATCTGGGGCGTGGACTTGGAACCGTAATTTTGTGCTATTCTTCACCGGTAAAACTTTGGTTTTCAGCGGAGGTAAAGTTGGGCTGCCAGAAAGTCGAAAAAGCTAAAGTTTGGAGGTTCTATAGGAACGGCGTAATTATCTGTCACTACACATCACAGGCTGCCTAAGCGTACCTGCACATACAGAGTACGTAACTTCTCGCTGGTTTCGGTGGAGGACATAGCGTATTAGTAACCGGTTAATCTTCTCAGAACGTGGATGGACTTAGTCTGATTCTCACCTGAGAGAAGCTTTGATTCCCCCGGGGTCCTCCCTGTTTTGAAGGCCGCTGATCAAATGGGCCCGGAGCATTATTAAGTAGACGTGAACCTTCCAGTAGTCTTGATTCGAGGTTTTCCCATTGAGATTTCAAGTTTTCCATTGATCCTTTGCGGCGGAGCTCTGCCGCGCTCGACTGCAGTTCGCAGGATCTCATGGGATTCGGTATGTCCCGCGACGTCGACAATGGCCGACGACGATAGAGTAACTCGACTCCTGGCGTCTACTTGGTCATTGATCGGAACAAGTGCCACACTGCTTGCCCTCCGGATCTATTGCAAGATATGGCGCGGGCGGGGTTTATGGTGGGATGATCACTTATTGGTAGCTGCTTGGGTACGTTGACTGACCATCGTTGGCCTGCATCTTTTGTCAAGAATAGTCATCCTGATTCTTACTGTTATCTGTCAAGATAAGCTTAGCGATTTCCGTGTCCATCAACTCCTACATAATCTCTTTAGGGTTCGGGCATCACTTATCGACCATCAGCGATCACAACAAAAGGACGATCAACCTTTTTACGATTCTTGTCGCAATCTTCAGCATCCTTGCCACAACATTGAGCAAAACATCCTTCGCTCTCATGCTGTACCGACTCGTCTTGAATGAATGGCTGAAATACTTTTTGATCTTTGTTATGGTCACGATAAACATATCATTGAACCTAGTGTGGATATTCGGGTTTGCTAAATGCACACCGCTGACAAAAGTTTGGGACCCTAGCGTTCCTGGGGAGTGCTGGGACAAGACGCGCCTTGTCAAATACCAACTCTTTTCTGCTTGTAAGCCTGGGTGATGACGCCCTGGGAGACCCCAAAGCGCAACTTTTTGACAAAAAAAAAAAATTGCAGATTATTCTGCCATACTGGATTTAGTTTTGGCAATTCTTCCCTGGCCGATCCTCATGGGGGCGACATTGAAACGGCGCGAGAGATTTGGTGTCGCTGTGGCGATGAGCCTCGGCGCAATGTATGGGTATTTCGAGTTGAATGAAGATTCATTGCTGACTTTTAGCCAGTGCTGGGGCTTGCGGTATCGTAAAGGGGGTGCTGGTGGTGTCAATGACCAGTACGGACATCACGTACGACCGAGTTGACCTGACGATTTGGAGCATCGCGGAACCCGCAGCATCCATAATGGCGATATCGATACCTATATTGTCAGTATATCATCGTCATCCCGCCCTTTTATTCCAGGGACTAAGCCTTTTGCACAGGAGGATGTTATTCCGCGAGCTAAAGTCCAGTCAGCGGAGCTACCCACGAAACACGTCACAATCTCAGTCGAATAGGCTCGAAGCAACAAGGTCGAAAAGAAACCAGTATGAAGAAGGCAGTAGTTTCGGCATCGATTTTTCCAATGTCATGCCGGTTGCTAGGATACAGGAATCTCAGGGGGGGTCGCGGGAGCTAGAATGTGAGTCTGCCCCTCGTGCTGGATTGAAAACAGAGTGTTTGAGGGAAAATCATGAGATCTTGCCATTCAGGAGTCGTAGAAACTCCATGGAGCTTGATATGCTGAATCCAAAGTCTATTTGATGCTGCTTCCCACTGGCTAGTAGCTACTACGCTGTTCTACTTCTGCCATGCCAAAGGCCCATGGTTTGGTGATCTCACGAACATACAAAGTACACCCGCATACAGATGCTACATGCTCCCTGCTATTCTGTGAGAGCTGAAGGAGCCAGAACACTAAATAGGTGAATTCTGCGTCATGCTTTCATAGTCAATCACCCTATAACGACGATTTGCTGATTTCTCAGCTGAGCGCAATCCAATATGCTGCATTGACCAAGACGCTGAACTGAACATCAAATTAACAACTATTCAATACGCGACAATTCAGACCACAGTATACTCTTGCAATACGCTGTTCAAGGTAACGAGGCGCCAGCAGGCTTCAACTCCTTCATGGTCTCCTCTACCAGTCTTTCCCCAATCTCACGTCCTTCTTCCGTGTACAAAATTGGTGGGAATCTAATATCGTTAGCAGGTATTTTGGCTGAAATTTGACGGCTAAACGATATACTTACGGCTTGATTGTCCATTCGCTGATGAAACTCCCGTGGCTCTCGACGCCTTGGACTAAAGCCGCGTTGAGGTACACAGAAGCACCAACATCGAGCGGTCTCGCTAAGAAGTAATGAATAACGCCAAAGATCTTCTGTACTATATAGGGCTGTTTATCACCCAGGGCTGTTCCTCCAGTCAAACCGGGATTCGATACGTTGATCAGGACATCGTTCGGGTTGACAAGCTCGGCGAGCTTCGCAACGAAAAATACGAGCAGCAGCTTCGACCTCATGTACGCGGTCTCAACCCAGTACTCCTTGGGGTCATCACACTGCGGCAGTACCGGGTTCGTTGTCTTTAGTGAAGCGATGTACGCCGAATCGGACCCCACGACACTGAGAACGGGCGGTCTGGAGGCGCCGGGGATCTTCTTAGACTTGAGGATGGGAACCAGAAGCAGAGACAGATACACCGTCGAGAGGTAGTTGACCTGCATCGTAATCTCGTGGCCGGTGGCCGCAGCAGGAGTATATGACGTCATCATCAAGCCGGCGTTGAGGATCACGATATCAAGGCGCGGCAAGGATGCACACTGGTCGGCGAATTGGCGGATGGATTCGTATGATTCCATGTCAAGAATCCAGACGGACACCCGGGAGTCCGGGAAGTCTTTGCGCAGCTGGCTCGCTGCTGCGTCGCCTTTGGCCTGGGAACGCACGCCCATGATCAGATGGGAGAGCCCGATTTCCAGCAGCTGCCTGGACGCCGACAGACCAAGGCCTACATTGCTTCCCGTGACGATGGCGGTTTGGTCTGTGAGACGCAAGTCGGTAGGTAAAGGCGTGGGCGCTACACGTTGCCGGCGCAGGAAGCCTCGAACTGTGGCCTCGAATGCAGCATCAGCCTGAAGTTTTGCCGACATAGTTGCTTGTGTGTAGGGGGTAGTGAGGTCGGCAAGGATCAACCAGTTTAACAGTATCTAACCTTAGTAAACCTGATCCAATGGGGGCCACAGTTTTTTTTTATACAATGTTGAATTGGATGGCATGATAATTATCGTTATCGGCAAGCTGCAGCTCTCTAATTCTCCAAGATTCCACACATGATTGCATAAGTTCGGCTGAAGGCGGCGGACGGACGGACGACGTTGTCTTGTTAATACACCACCCCTGAGTGAGTACAGGTCCTTAAACAATGGAACATGGAATTCTGTCCAGTTCCACAAGTTAAGTAAATCCGGTGTATTTTGGGTTGAAATGGATGTAGTAATTGGTCAATATCCCTGCCTGGATAGTAATCCAGGTTTCAGTAGTCATGGCTTACTGTCTCAAAGACGACACCATTCATTGCAGGCTGCCAACACTGTCTTATTACTACATCACCCCTGAGCGAGTGCGAATGGCTTAGTGTCTCAGAAACGACACCATTAATTGCAGGCAGCAATCCATGCCTGGTACTACCGAGGCAATTGGCGGGTTGAATCGGCTCTGAACGTCATCTATATACATGCTACAGCTCTCCAATTTTCAGCTCGGCCGAAGGCGGCGGACTACCAGCGTTGTGTACCCATCACCGAAAAGCGAGTGCAGATGGCTTGCCAGGGAAACTGGCGGAACAGGGATTGTATAAGTTCAGCCGCGGACGGCCGGCTGCCAACATTGCCTTATCAATCCATCAACCATTAGTCAGTCCACGTGCGGTCAGACTATTCGCTTCCTAGTAAGTCAGAACTGTAATTGAACCAGCGTCTACATAAAGAACCCAATCATCTCGACTATAAGCTGTATTATCAACAGACCACCACATGGGCCCGTACTAGTTCTGCCCAAGCGCACAGATGCATAGGGCACGGTGGCAGAGCCAGGGGATGGACTCAGTCTTATATTCAACTAGAAACATCATTTCATTAGGATAGGAAAAAGCCTCACTAAGGTGAATGGAGTCAAATGTGTGGGTCGCGGAAGAGGTTCAGGTATAGAGCCACTACGACAAGAATTAATGTTCGTTAACGACCACGCCGTCGGCAATCCAGTGAAATATAATAGGTAATTTATAGCCGTTTTTATTGTGAGCTCCGGTCCTCAGAATATCGTCCCAAAAAAAAGGCAGCTCGAAAATTATATCTGACATAGCTCTGTGCTATTTCTATTACGAAGGGGCACCCTGGTTAGTTACTTCTCCGACTCCCACTGCACGTGAGCAGTTCAAGTGCAGCTCTCTGCAAGCGCTTGTATCTCGAGTCCCACCCCCATTTCTGATCGTGATCAAGAAATGGTTATTCCAGATAGCGACATCGTTCGCTGATTCCGCAACATTACATTGCTTGCGGTCACGTTCTCCGAACGCGGAACCGGCGCCGATGTCGCGAGACTGAGTCGTTGGCTACTTGCTGTCCACGCGACGGGCAATATAGGACGCGACATCGGGTACGCAGACGTTGGAGACATTCGTAGCGAGGTTCTGGCAGTCGGCGTCGGTGTACAGCTCAACTACAGTGGTAAAAGCGAGTTAGTCACGTACGTCCACAGAGCGCATCGTTCCGGCCGAAGAGGGGGGGGGGGGGAGAGGCTAACAACTGAAGACCGGGGTCAAGCCGCTGGCAGAGAACCTCTCGTAGGTGTGGTTGTCGACGGCCGCGGGAATGGGCTGGCACTGATCGAGGAAGTCGGTCGGGACGGCGAGGGAACTGCCGGTGCCCTCGTAGGCGACCGGGTTGCCGGTGCAGTCAGAGGCCGGGTCGTAGAACATCTTGATGGTCCCCATGACGGAGGACGCGGAGGCGGCGGCGGCGAGGGCCAGGAGGCCGGTGGTAGTGGTCGCGAAGTGCATCTCGGGGTCGATCTCCGGCTGCGAATTTCGGCCGAGTTTACTGGAGACTGGGGGTTTGGCTCCAAGAACGTAGGGAAGCTCGCCCTTTTAGGGGTTTTACGGGCTGCCTCCCCCCTTTCGCGGTGCACTGAATTGTTTAAGTGGAACTGGTTTATACAGCCTTGGAACAACCGCCGAGCCCTCGTATGCTTTGCTATGTATTTCGGTTGGCCATAAACGCAACAATACCCACACTCGCCGAGCCTATCCCGTGCTGGTTCATCGAGCCAGTGGTGGTCCTCCCCGTAATTACGTTGCTCAAGACAGGGGTGATGCTGCCAGCTGCTCTGAGAATCACAGGGCAATGCCAGGGATCATTCTCGCTAGAAGCTCGTGGATCTTCCAGTCTGACGTCTAAACAACCACTGATATACGCACCCAATACGGTCCCTCCTAAGGTCCCAAAGACAGCATGCAATTGCCATCGGCGATGACTAATCCATCTCACTTTCAACCTCTGCCTGCTGAAGAAAAGAACGCATCAATATGATTGGCCAATTGGTCCAGGCACCAGCCTGCGCTAAGGCCTGTTCTGCCTGGTTTGACTAAGCGCTTGCTGATATAAGCGGCCTGCGAAGCTGAGATGGCCGAAAGTGGTCTGAGCCTTGAGGGTCGGGATAACATATAAATACCACGGGGCGGTCGATGTTAAATACCATAAGATCAGGATATCTCTGCAGAGTTGTTGCTTTTGATTTGGACTACCGACATACCAAAGAGCTCACGTGAAAGGCGCAGCTTCTTCGGAATGGTGACGGCACTACCCTCTCGCGCCAAAGTAAGTAGAACCTATTGATCGTCCGAACATTGCCAGCCGACTTACACCGTTCCGAGCAGCAGCCTGCGCGGCAGGAACCAGACCCCAAACCCAGCCCAGCCTCCAGCAAAAACAGAAGAGAAAACCCGTTGCGACCCAAGAGACCGACGCAGGTACTCAATGTCGCCGTATGGGGCAGCGGTGAGAACTGCGAGCTCGGCCTCGGCCCCCGCGTCACCGGAGCCCCCAAGCCCCGCCTCGCGGACAAGCTCCTGTCCGCCGACACCGTCGGCGTCGTGCAGGTCTCGGCGGGCGGCATGCACTGCGCGGCCTTGACCCACGACGGCAAGGTCCTGACATGGGGCGTCAATGATGACGGGGCGTTGGGCCGAGTGAGGTTGCCAGATACGCCCGAAGAAGGCGCCGAGGATCTATTGGATCCCTTCGAGAGCACGCCGGGCCAGGTGCTCTTCGAGGACGACGTCGAGGTCGTGCAGACTGCAACGACTAACAGCGCGTGTTTCGCCTTGACTGCTAAAGGGACGGTCTACGGCTGGGGAAGCTTTGCAGGGGGAGACGGCAACTTCGGCTTCCTCCACGAGAAGCCCCCCAAGACCACAGAGCCACTGCCTGTGCGCATACCAGGCCTTGAGAATGTCATGGAGCTGGCCGGCGGTGCGAACCACATCCTAGCCCTGACCAACGACGGCAACGTCCTTGCCTGGGGTTCCGGGGAACAGAACGAGCTGGGTAGGCGCGTCTTGGAGCGCCGCCGCTTCGAGACCCTGATTCCACAGCGCGTAGGCCTGCCCAAGAACAAGACGGCCAAGATCTTTGCGGGCTCGTACCACAGCTTCGCCATCGATGCCGACGGCAAGGTCTGGGCTTTCGGGCTGAACAACTTTGGCCAATGCGGCATCCCGACCCGAGAGATTACCGGGTTCACGACCATCATATCGCCAACCGTCGTAAAGAGCTTGAGCGATTACGAAATCCGCCATATCGCGTGCGGACTCCATCATTCTATTGCTTGCACAAAGAGTGGACAAGTCCTGGTGTGGGGTCGGTGTGACGACGGCCAGATGGGTATCAGTCTTGATACGGTGCCGAAAGAGCACATCATTTTTGACTCTCGGGAACGTCCTAGAGTCCTGAACGTGCCGACCGAGGTGCCGATACCTGGTAAGCTATCTCACACATCCAGAGTCCAGGCTCTTTTCCGTGCTGATCAGACTTCAGACCGTCAAGCCGTCTTTGTTGCGGCTGGGATCGACAACTGCTTCGTCGTCGCCAACGAGTTGTATGCATGGGGGTTCTCTGCCAGCCACAACACCGGTCTGAAAACCACTGAGACAGTCAAATCCCCGACCGCGGTGCCATGCCGACTGACGGCAACGTTCGTTGATGCCGGGGGCCAGTTTGGCATCGCGTGTGGACCCAGCCTATGAACCTTGCGAGCCCTGCCTTCACACGATCAGGAAGTTGAGGTTGGAAGCCTTGAGCTTCTGGACCCAGGTCCGTTCCGTCTGGGTGTGCGGGTCCACGGATTCCTCAAGGTTCCAGATGGTTTGAAGCATGTCCATAGCGGTCATGATGAAGCCCCAGGGGGTCGCAATCATGAGCCTCCTCAGGCGGTCGAGGATCCATTTCCGTCTTTCGGGGTCCGAAGTTCCCGCGCCGGCAATGAACGTCGGCAAACAGGTGGCCTTGAAGTTTGGATCCTCATCGTGAATGCAGGAGAGGTGGTAGAACATTTGGCTGTCCAGCTCCTCGCGGTCAACGGGCACGAGTATGGATGCCGACGGAAGAGCATGGAGTATGTACAGGCAGGCGGCAAGGCGGTGGGCTGAGCCGGCGTGAATGCGGCTCTCCACCGGGATGTTTCTGAAGTATGAGATGGTCCGTGGCTCATACGCCCAGTCGTTGACGTCGAAGGACAGGGCCTGCTGCAGGATTTGTGCGGCGCCCTGCGCTACGTCTGCTGCCGAATCCAGATCTTCTGTGCTGCGATTCGACAGCTGAGACGCTGTCAGAAGGATCTGCAGGATGTCGGGCGGACAACAGAAGTAGCTGTTTGCGGCAGCCTTGCCCAAGACGGAGGAAACCTGTGCGGAGTGATAGTACGACTTGGCGGCCGGCGTTGATGCGTTGAAGGCGGAAGCCAAGATGTAGTAGCTGCGGAGGAGAAGTCAGCTTAGATAATCCACTATCCCGTTAGGAGGAGACACATCAACCCACATGAAGCAATCCGACATGACATAGTCCCGTAGTGCAGAGTCCGCCATTCCGACGGGGGACAAATAAGACATGATTCGCCCAGCGCCCTCGAGATGGGGCTTCCAGCCGTCCCTTCCACTCTCCATCAGCTCAACGTTGACGAAGAAGAGCACCGAGGACAGCACTACGTCTCCCCCGGTGCCGCCGATGTCTTGCAGTGCAGAAGACAAGAGCCGCAGCGCCTTCTGCTTGGCAACCAGGGCATCGGTTAAGGCTTGCCGCGCGTTGAGGTCCGACTCCGGGTCCGAGGACAGCGCGCGGGAGAGATTGGACATGTGGGCCGCGGAGGCGGCCACAATGATGTGCTGCAGCAGGGGATGAGCCTTGGTCAGCGGGATGAGAGAGCGGAAGGGGTTCCGATCGGGCAGGTCCCAGGAGACGAGATCCTTGCAGACGCGCGTGGTGACTATGGAGAGAAGGGAGAAGCCGAGTTAGCAATTCCGGTGTCTTTGCCAAGAGATTGGGATAGGGAAGCAGGGTGTAAGTTTACAATAGGAGAGGTAGTGTCGGTAGTGATGCTCCACACCCTGGAAGAGAGGGTCGACGAGGGTCCAGGGAGCCGACTGGGTCTCGATCCCGGCGGGCCGGACGTTAGAGACGACAAGAGCAGTGGAACAGTCCTCGGCAGATGTGGGAGAGTCATGGTGATGGTAGTGGTGGCGGTCCGGCACGGAGGTAGATGCGGAGGGAGACGCGGAGGGAGTTGCGGAGACGGATGAGGGCTCGAGCGTGGAGGCCCGAGACGGGGTGGTGGCGGTGGTGGCCGTATCGGCCGAGAAGGTGATGGTAGTCTTGCCCGCGAGCTTTCCGCGACTCGCGACGCCCTCAGTCCAGCGAAACAGCTTCCCGTAGCCCAGGCACTCGTGGCCGCCGGTTGTGCACTTGTGGCAGCGCGGATAGGAGCGGTCACAACGCCAGCGGCGGCGGCGGCAGTTGTGGCACGGCTTGGTCGGGGCGTTGAGCACGCCGATGCGAGCCATAGCTGCAAGGCGGCGCAAGCAAGGTCTTGATGGCGTGTGACAGCGGTAGCATGAAACAAAGTGCAGGGTCAGATGGATCTCGGTACAGTACAGGCTAGAGGCTGCGATGCGTCCTGTGTGATGAGTGAGGTGATGTATGACGGGAGATGGTAGTTAGGATGGCGCAGATGCTGTCTCGATTGAGAAATGGATTATCAAGATATGCATGACCAAGACGTCTTGAGATTGGCCGCGAGCGGGGGTGGGATGCTGCGGGTGGGTGTGCGAGCGCGGGGGGGGTTGATGGATGTCGGGATGCGAGATAACGTAGATGGACGGCCGTGTAGACGTGCTTCGTCGCGTTGGGAAACGAGACCGAGTAAGAAGACGGATTGATAGAGCGAACCATCCACCACGTTCGGGAATAATTGTTTGGTTGCGCAGTCCGAACGGTCTGAACGCCTGAGCGAAGCAAAGGAACGAGGACGAGACATTGAGACGGTTGGTTGGTTGTTCGGCAGGGTCTGGTGTGTTCGGCAGACGGCGAAGCTTCCATCATCATCAACCAGACCCACCCACGGTGGCCGAAGTCGCCGCTTCCGCGACCAGTCGATAGCGACGATAGGATATGACGCTAGTCCCGATATAGCAGCCAAGAAACACATAGTGCATATCCGCCCCACCTATCTGTTCCCAGCGCACCTTGCTAGCTAAGTTTGCGCTGAAGAACCTCCACCGGCCATTTGCTGACCAATGAATCACCACCAAAGACATCGGTTGATGTGTCAGCAAGGTATGTGGGAGGAACAGTTCCCTGTCCTCGCCGAGGTCCGTTTCGTAACATCCCCAGAAAATCTCTATGTTGCGGAATCTCATCATTCAATGCGTCATTCTACTGTGGGTTGTCGTCACCCCCTATCCAGCATGCCGCAGACACGAAGGGCCTCACGGAAGGCGTATTGTTCACTACCGGTATGCCCTCCGGCGTGATGCGCGTATCCCGTCGGCTTTTGGGGGGGGGGGGGGGGGGGGGGAATTACCGTTATAGTGCTCGATCAATATCTCGAGTACTACGTTAGACGCCGCCGCGTTCGACCTACCGAAGCTTGACTGGCTCTCCACGAGCCCGACGTCTACGCCCTAGCAGATGCGTCGGACACCTCACATATAGGCCTCCATCCGACATTGACTTTTGTCACAGGAAAGCTAGTGACCAACGTTGTTCGCATCATCGCCCAGAAAGGAAGCCAAGACGCACACCATGCCCCTCTCCCCTCACCCACCCGCTGCCGCCCTGCAAGGCTCGTGAGGCTCTCCGGAGCTTCTGGGGAGCGGGGGAAACTAGACGGTGCCCCATCCCAGCCCGTGTGTCAACATTTGCGTGTGTATCGCTTGCTGCTGGTTTGGTTTGCCTCCCTGTCGAGAAGGTTGGCGGTTCTAGCCGGATGCAAGCAAAATTTTGACACGCCCACTCTCCACACTAGATGCCCACCCCCCCCCCCCCCCCCGGGTTGATTAGAAATTCTCTTCTTCAAAGAACCCCATACTCTCTTTTTGTGATCATTGTGCGTGACGCTTTGTGTGGATTGTTCTTCTGGGCATTATTTAGACACTGGGCGGACTCTTTACGCGCCGCATGATCTCGACTTGTCACTTATTGTCTGCTTCCATGTTGGTCACATACTGTGTTGATATAACCCAAAGGTTAAAGTGTCCCATAGCCAAGTAGACACCATTGTCGACCAACATACCCGCCTCATCGACCTTATACTACAGAACAACCACAGACAAAGCCGGCACCGATGGCCCGGCAAGACACCGAGCGGGATGCTGGACCCGAAGGCCAGGCCGCCGAGTTCGACGTCGAGTTCCTCGGCCGCCAGCGCCCGGCCGTCTTCAAATCGCAGTGGGCCGAACTGGGCTTCTGCTTCTCCCTCCTGGGATCCATGCTCATGGCGGTACGTCCTCCCGGCGCTCCCCTACCTAGCTTACAACATGATTATACTGAACACACCCTTCTCGCAGGAGTACTTCGTCAGCGGCTTCCACATCATCCTGCCGCCGCTCGCCTCTGAGCTCGACATCCCCGCTGCGTCCCAGACGTGGCCGTCGAGCGTCTTCTCCCTCGTCACCGGCGCCTTCCTGCTGCCGCTCGGCCGGCTGGGCGACATGTACGGCGGCTATCTGACCTTCAACATCGGCCTCGCCTGGTTCCTGGTCTGGTGCCTCGTCGCCGGCTTCAGCACAAACTACCTCATGCTCATCTTCTGCCGCGCCCTCCAGGGCCTCGGCTCCGCCGCCTACCTGCCCGCCGGCATCATGCTCCTCGGCAAGATCTACCGGCCGGGCCCGCGCAAGAACCTCGTCTTTGCGCTGTACGGCGCCTTCGCCCCCATCGGTTTCTTCTTCGGCATCCTCGTCGGCGGCCTCTCGGGCCAGTTCCTCAGCTGGCGTTGGTACTTCTGGCTCGGCAGTATCGTCCTCGGCGCCGTCACCGCCGTGTCCTTCCTGACCATCCCGTTCGACTGCCGCGACAAGCGCCGCGAGATGAGCATGGACTGGTGGGGCGTCGCCACCATCGTTCCCGGCCTCCTGCTCGTCGTCTACGCCATCACCGACAGCTCCCACGCGCCGAGCGGGTGGGCGAGCCCGCAGATCCTCGTCACCCTGCTCCTCGGCGTCGCCTTCCTCGGCGCCGCCTGGTACGTCGAGAGCCGCGTCGCCACGGAGCCCCTGCTGCCCGGCGACCTGTTCGCCCCCAAGTCGATGAAGACCCTGGTGGCCGCCCTCTTCTTCGCCTACGGCACCTTCGGCCTCTTCCTCTTCTACTCGAGCTTCTACATCGAGACGGTCCTGCACGTGTCGCCGCTGCTGACAGCATTGTGGTACCTGCCCCTCATCGTCGGCGGCTTCATCATCGGCACCGTCGGCGGCTTCACGCTGCACCTGCTGCCCGGCCGCGTGCTGCTCGCCATCTCGGGCGTCGGCAACGTCATGAGCGTGCTGCTCTTCGCCATCACCCCCGAGAACCCAAACTACTGGGCTTACGTCTTCCCTGCCATGGTCTGCGGCACGATCGGCATCGACATCACCTACACGGTCAGCAACGTCTTCATCACGACCAACCTGCCCGCCCACAGGCAGGGCCTCGCGGGCGCCCTCATCAACAGCCTCCTGTTTCTGGGCATCAGCTTCTTCCTCGGCATCGGCGACGTCGTCGTCGGGGGCACGCGCCACCTCGGTACGCGCGGGAGCTACCACGCTGCCTTCTGGCTGGCCACCGGCGTCGCGGCCGTCGGCTTGCTGCTTTACGTCTTCGTCCGCATTGGGTCCGCAAAGAGCGACCTCACGGTGGAAGAGCGCGAGCAGCTCAACACAGAAGCTCAACGACAAGGACAGGCAGTGCCGGATTCCGAGAAGAGCACGCACGGCGCCGGCGCCCAGGACACGTCGGCAACGGTGACTGACACTGAGGGGGAAAAATCAAAGCCATCAGCACCAGAGGGACAGGTCCAGGGGAGATGAATGACCGGTGCGTTGTGAGGCACACAAAGAAACTAGAGGATGCGCATGGTCGGCAAAAAAGACTGTTCCTCGTTGCGACGGCGTCACACTTCGTGACTGGCTGGAGGGTGACATTGATCGGCATTGCAAGTGGCACCCAGAGTTGTAGCGCAGTGGTGGGAACTTTTGCACATCAGAATGCCGCGACATTTTCACCGAGGGCATTTGCAAAAGCGAAGCACACACACACACACACACACACACACGCGTAATGGAGAGGTTTAGGACGAGGTGCTCTAGCCCACGGATCGCGCGGCTCCAAGGTTGTCCATAGCCCCGGCTTGAGTTCATCCCATGCAGCGGACCCGCGAGAGCATGGTGACCCTTCACCGGCGGTTGCACGGCACTGCGCTCGGCGGTAGCCAGAAACATCTCTGGCTCTCCCACTGGCCCCAAGTTGCCCCAATCATACCATGCAGGGGGCGGAAACGACTGGTTCACCATCACTTCGTGTTGATACAGAGGGCGGCCGAGGTGGAAACTAAATGAGAGCAGGACGTTAATCGGGACAGTGATGGGGCACTTCCGTCACCGGCAGTGCAGTAGTTGATGTTAAAACTGAAGAAATAGACTGGTCGCAGGGTTTATAGATGGGACTGGCGCGACGCATGAAAAGATAAATGACTGTTTGGAGACAAGGAAGAGGAGCTGCACGGCAAAAGAGGGGCCGCGTCCCATCAGCCGCTAATTGAACATCCAATCCATCATATCATCGTATGCATAATCTCTTGTCAGTTTCATTATCCAATATCCTGCGGTCGACGCCATCACCCAAGACCCAGCTCATAGCTGAGCGACCCTGAGAGGGGCCGCCTTGGCCATTCATCTCAGTCGGCGGGTGGGAACATTCGTATTGGTCCGTAGGTTGTGAGCTACGTCTTTCCCGAGCGGGAGGAACGGGTATACAAGACGCTCCCGACTTATGGACACCGATCAGGGTGGCAAGTTCGGATGCGCGCCGAAGGACGCCTACTCCGTTCCAGGGCTGGGTGACGCAGCGCCAAAGAGTTCGAGCTTCGAGCGCCACGGCATCAAGGCAGGCATCGCCAACGGCATGGCATCAAGATAACACAGGCCCTGGTAGCCAGTGCGACGGCATGAATATTGCCTCGATGGCCGGCGCTGAGAAGGGCAAGGGAGCGAGGTATGGCACAAGTGCTGATATCCAGAGTTGCAAACACCAAGGCGCGCGCGCACGCCTCAAGGCTCAAGATGTCAAGATTTGCATAAAAGGAAGAAAGTTGTGAGAAACACGATCCGTCGTCATCAAGTTCCTACTCGCTTGTCGTCCGCCTCGTCAGGCGTCGTTGGCAAAGATCAAGACAAGACTGACTGCTGTGCCACCCCCCTCCTTCGACGTCAAGTCGCTCCGAAAGGGGTCCAAGGCGCCAAGACCGGGGTGACCGGATGAAGCCCCCCCCCCCCCCCCCCCCCCCCAAACCAAGACAGAGAGAGAAGCGGATGGTTCGGGGAATAGGGTTGCTGCCAAGGCCCAGCACCCAGCCAGCTATTGGGTTGGGCAGACACCCCGAGAGGACAGATCAGACCACGAAGAGCCAAACTCCGGAGTACGCTGACTGACGGACGAGCAGATTAAGCCTCGAGACTGCCGATAAGTGTGCGCCGAACTCGGCCGGGCGCTATTTTAGGCCCCGCAGGTTGACGGTTGGTCCCCCTTTCTCCCGCATTTAACCGTAAAGCTTGGTTGTCTAACCCAAAGGTAAAAAAAGGAAAATTAACCTCGTTTCCCCCCTCTAACCCATCCACCCCACACGCCAACAGCACGATCCAGCTCGTGGATCCCGTCTTTTCGGCCGGCCGGGACTACGACGTGAGGGATTTTGGAAGGGGAGAAAGAGCCAGAGAGGAAGTAACATGGCTACGAGGAGCTTGCGAAAAACACGCGAGACACATCCCTTGTCGTCCCTCCCCTCCCTCCCCCACAGCTCTGCCCGGATGTTGGAATCTAATATAACGCCATACTCATGATGGATCCGCCCGCACCCACGCCATTCCCCCGTTCGAACCCCCCGACCTCGACCGGCCTCGACCGCTACCCCGGGGCTCTCTCTCCCCTTCGAGGCCAGATGCGGCTACAGCAACGGATGAGATGAGGCCAATGGCCCAAACAGGATAGCACGACATCCGTATTCTTCCCAAGGAGCCTTGCTACCTAGGTGTTTCCCCGTACGAGGACCCCCAGTCGCGCCCGGCGCCTCTCCTTTTTTCGTCCGGCGGATTTGCTGGGCCATGGGGAAAAGATTTCCTTTCCGTAGTTTCCCCCCTTCTTTTGTCGTTCGGATGATGATGACAATGCCAAGAGATCTTGAATCTCAGATCGCCATCCAAGATTCACCTGGCTCCGGGCCCTCCTCCTCATGAACCACCAGTGTGCAGATACTCTTACGAACACTTACACGTCTTGTAAACCATGACAACACCTCCGCTCCAAGTACCAGGCCTCTACAGTCCAAGTCTTCCCCTCACCTTTGCCGCCCCTCTGGCGAGGCCCCCGGTATCTCAGTCCTGACTCTACCAACGTGTCTTGTTCTTCGTGTTGTATCCATACTACTACGAAGTACTGCAACCCCCTCGCGCCCATGTCCACGCCATCAACCATCTCCACCCCCCCCTGAATTCATTTCGCTATCCTACCGCCCGCGGCCCACCAGCCCCCCCCCCCCCCGATCAGTTTTCAAACGTACTATGGTACCAGGCCGAAATAAAATACCCCTGTTAGGTATCTTACTCTAACACTCACCACCCTACTTATTTCAGTAGCGGGCATTACAGTACTGTTTACTAGCCTAGCCAGCTGGACTGTGTGGCGATATTACATAACTGGGGTATTTTATTTCCCCCTGCCACCCTGTACGTCAAGCCGCTGCCGGCTAGGCTGTATTGATCGCCCTTGGCGGAAAGCACTCCCGCAAACACGACTCAGGACACTACACACACGGACAAGACGAACCACCGCACCCCGCGTCCCCGTGGCGCGTCCTATTCGTGCGATTCTGCTCTCTTATGTACGGACTCGCGCGCGCATGACGAACGTGATTCCTTTCGGACAAGCTTGAACCCGGGGGGGTCCAAGGGTCAGGGTTCTAGCGCGACTCGTCGATCCCTTCTGAACCCAGAGCGCGCCGCTCGCCGAAACGGAACCCCGGCATCTATTTAGATTACTTACCTTGGGTTACTACCGAGCCACGCGGGCGATTCAAGTGCAGGAAGCGCTCGTCGTCCGGAGCCTCCCCGTTCAGATACATAAAAATGTCCTTCCTCCTACGGCCCTCTCTGTCTTTCTCTCTCTTACCTTTTGTTGATTCCCCTTCCTGCTTTCGCTTCTTCCATCTTTTCCCGCCCGTCGCAACGTCGCATTGCATCCTCTCGCTAGACGTAGATCGTCGTCACGTTCTTTTTGATTAAATAAAAAAACCCTCTCTTTTACAGAGAGAAAGGGGGGGGAACAGAACCTCGTCAAAATGAAGTTCAGCGTCGCCTCCTCTCTCGCCGTGCTGGCCGCCCTGACCAACGCCACCGCGACCCCCGCCATCGAGAAACGCGCCACCTTCACGGACGCCTGCGGCGTCGGCTACGGCGCCGGCACTACGGGCGGCGCCGGCGGCGCCATCACCACCGTCTCCACCCTCGACCAGTTCACCGCCGCCGTCGCATCCGAGGACCCGGCCGTCATCGTCGTCCAGGGCGCCATCACCGGCGCCGCCAAGGCCCGCGTGGCCTCCAACAAGACCGTCATCGGCCTCCCCGGCTCTTCCCTCACCGGCGTCGGCCTCTACGTCAACGAGGCCGAGAACGTCATCCTCCGCAACCTCAAGATCGCAAAGGTCCTGTTCGACAACGGCGATGCCATCGGCATCCAGGCCTCCTCCCGCGTCTGGGTCGACCACTGCGACCTCTCGTCCGACCGCGACAACGGCAAGGACTTTTACGACGGCCTCCTCGACATCACCCACGGCTCCACGGCCGTCACCGTCTCCAACACCTATCTCCACGACCACTGCAAGACCTCCCTCGTCGGCCACTCCGACTCCAACGCGGCCATGGACACGGGCAAGCTCTTCGTCACCTACGCCAACAACTACTGGAAGAACGTGGGCTCCCGCGCCCCCTCGGTCCGCTTCGGCAACGTCCACATCTTCAACAACTACGAGGAGCACATCGACTCCTCCGGCGTCAACACCCGCATGGGCGCCCAGGTCCTCGTCGAGTCTTCCGTCTTCTCCCTCGTCAAGCGCGCCATCACCTCCCGCGACTCGGACGAGACCGGCTACGCCACCTGCTTCGACGTCGACCTCGGCAACTCCACCGACAGCGCCCCCAAGGGCACCTTCGTCAAGCCCTCCTACTCCTACACCGTGCTCGGCGCTTGCAACGTCAAGGCTGCCGTCACCTCCTCGGCCGGCCAGACCCTCACGTTCTAAGCCGGCCCGCAACAGCGGGACGAAAGCCGGTGCTATGAAGGGTGCGCTGCCGTCCGCAGCGCATCGCCTTCTTGACAGGACAGTTTTGGGGGGAAAGCAAAGTGTGGAATTCTTGTACATACTTCCAAGGCACCAGCCATGGCTCGAGGCGCGCCGCCTGGTTCCGTAAATAAATAACTCGTCAACTACATGCATGTCCTTTGACAGCTATGACATATCTGATGCAAGCGGGGCTGCTTTACGATAACGTGCAGAAAAAGAAGAAGAAAAAGAAAAAGTAATGTGCATGTTGAAGACACGATAGACGCGGCTATAGGAACATGTGAGGTATGCCTTTCCGGCGATGTGATGTTTCAAGTAGTCTCAGCGCAGGTCCAACGTCTCACGTTTATATCGATCGGCCTGAAGCTGCCAAGTGACCCACTGTATCTGGCCGTTGTCTCCCGGGCCGCCGCAGATCGCGCAAGTGCCGGGGACAAGCTCAAGCTCCCGCCGGTCCCGCCATGCGCCCACTGCCTAAGCCCAAGCCCACATGTTCAGGTGCATGCCAGTGCATCGTATCACAGATGTTGTTATTCATATACATTCCATATAGGTATTTGACACATCCAGACCTGGCCGACTTGGGGGTGACGTGGAAGAAACAGCAACCACCAAAGGTCGGCTTGCCGGTACCTACCTAGGTGGATTGCTTACCTGCTTACCTACCTACCTAGGTAACGAGTTATGTACCTATCAAGCTACCAAGTAATAACGGAACGGGTAACTACACCGGATGCCATTCCACGCCAACATATATGCTGTCACGCCTTTCCATTTGAGCTAGAACTGGAGGGAGGAACCTCGTCCATGGAGCTCCTGCCATACAAAGGAACAGTCCAGGCAATAATAACCTTTTAGTATCACGGAAAGAGCTGCCTCGACAACCACCGCTTACATATCGTGATTTCCTACTCGCCTCTCCTTTTTCTTCTTGCTCTTTTTTGAATCAACACCCTGCTCGACAAGTCTTCATCTTCCACCGTCGTTCTCTCATCCTCTCGTACCCAATCAATTCAGGCCTCACTGCTCCTATCCTCTCCGTCACACTAGAGACGCCCACCTCTGAAAGCGTGACATCAGCAGCCACGATGCCTGCGCTTCCAATACCCAACCCGAGACCCTCTGAGCCCTCATCCTCCCAGACTCGTCCCAAAAGCACCCTATCCTCAAACCCACCTCCCACCAAGACGACGGCCACCACAACCACCACCACCACCACCAACACCACCAGAGCCCCCTCTGCGCGCCTCTCTCCCGAACACCACGCAATCATGCTCCGCTACTCCCTCTCCCCTCGCACCATCCACGCCCTCGCCGCCCTCCCTCACGCCGCCCCGCCTGACGAGATCCTCCGCTGCGCCGCCTCCGCCACCGAGTTCCTCTCCTTCACCTTCTCGCCCCCGGAGAAGGTCGCCTTCGCCGGCATCAATAACGACCCTTCGACCCGTTGGCCCGTCCGCGAGGCCCTCGCCCTCTCCTGGCACAAGGTCTTCCTCGTCGCACAGTGCGAGGCTGCGGGCGGCGACTACGGCGACAAGCTCTCCCTGCAGGCCCGCAACGCCCTCTACGCCGCGCGCGGCCGCATCGTCGACATCCTCGGCCAGGTCTTGCGCGCCTGCGCCGACATCATGGGCTCCCGCCGAGACGCCGCCGGCCTCCGCCGCGCCCTCGAGACCTGGCGCGGCATCGTCTCCGGAAGCTAGGAGGGGCTGGCCACGGAGCTGCTCCAGGTCCCCGGCATCGGGCCCAAAAAGGTCGCCTCGCTGGTCGCGCACGGCGTCCGCTCCGTACGTCAGCTCGCCGACCTGGACTTCTACCACATCGAGAGGATTCTGAGCCGCAACCCGCCTTTCGGCCAGAAGGTCCTGCGCAGCCTCGCGCACTTTCCGCGTCTCGCCCTCGTTGTCGACGTTGCCAAGCGAAAGGAGGGCACGCGGGACGTCATCATCAGAGCCGTGCTGGGTTGTTCGAACCGGGACATCCCCGTCTGGAAGGACAAGGAGCCTTCTGTCACCCTGGGAGCCGAGACCCCAGATGGCAGGCTGGTTTTCTTTTGGAGAGGCAAAGTGAGAAGCCTCATGTCGGGAAAAGTGCTTGCCTTCCCCGTCGAGGCGGCCCTCGGTCAGACAGTGTTCGTGTGGGCGAGCTGCGAGGAAATTGCCGGCACTTGTGTAACGGACGAGGTGGAGGTATGAGGTATGAACAACACCGTGTCTGTTATGCCAAGCAGGAGCTTGTTTTGTTCAGGGGTAAATCTTTGGCAGTCACCCTCACCCTCGGGGGACGGCTAGGAAGCATCTAGGTAGATAAATCATCGACGGTTGATTCATTAAGCGGCCAGCGCAGTATTACCACACATCATCAGCCATTGGCCGCCACGCTTTGCAACTACCAGCACTCGCCGCCGCCGCCAATGTTGCTCTCTTCGCTTGCTCCATCGCAGGAGCCCAAAAATATACTATGTACCCTTGCTTCTTTACCTTGCGGTCAAGCCGAGTATCGCTGTCTGATGATACTGTGGTGTGATGTCGGGCGTGCAAGCCGGACTCTATTCCAGGACCCAGTGTCCAACTAATCCGGAGCATACCACCCATGAATTTGCAAAACAAAACAACTCCTCCTTTTGCCTTTTATTATCCAACCATTTTGTTGCTCGTCATCGTCGCCTCATCACTCCCACCCACCGACTCGACCGGCCGCCGTTCGCAGCACTGTCGTAAACAAAATAAATTGAAAACTGGCATTACTCGAGCGACGATAGCGTCCAGGTTAGTCATCGCGGTTCTTGCCCCTAGCCGAGGGAACGCGGTGGTGGTGCAACATGGGCGACGCTGGCCTAGACGACGACAATCCCATGCCGCGAACCGCATCGAGTGGGTCCAGGTTGAGCTTGGCCTCATCCGTGACCGCGGGCGTGTAAGCAGGGTCGATCATGGCCTTCTCGTAGCTCGCGATGGTGATTGGTGGCGGGCGGCCCTTGCGCTCAGGGATGCTGTAGAGGTAGGTCGAGGCCAGGACCAGCGCAGTGCCGATAATAAACTGATGTGCGTTAGGACCGTGCGGTAAAAGAAAGGGATTAGAAGTGAACTTACAGCGAAATTGACTTGAAAATTGAAGAACCAAACACTGAACATGAAGCTTAGAACGATACTGATGCTAGCTGCGAAATTCTTTGCAATGTTGTCGGCATAGTTGATGCATAGCGAGGCCAGGACGCCGCCGACGGCCTGAAAAACAATCGCGGTCCAGACAACCGAGTTGTAGCCCTCAAAGAAGCCATGCTTGGTAATGTCTTCGCCATCAAGGAAGACGATGCCGGCCAGAGCGGGAAACAGCGAGTAGAATGACAGCTGGATGTTGCGCGTCCAGACGGAAGCCGGGGTCGGCGAATCCTTGAGCATCTTCTCGAAATAAACACCCGCGAGGCCCGAGGCGACGGCAGCCACGAGCACGGCTGACAATCCGATAGAGTAGTTCATGAGCGGCGACGGATCCTGGTCCTCCTGGATGCCCTGGTACGAGGCCGACCGCTTCACGATTTCTCCGCCAACGCTAGCAAGACCGTCTGCGGCGCGCTTGGTGAGCTCGCGGGCCACCTCAGAAGCGCCCTCGGCGGCTTGACCTAGCTCGTGCACGGAACGGGGGAAGAAATGGTCTGTGGTATCGTGCAGGAGGATGCCGGCAGAAGAGGATTCGGCATGGTTTCCGGAAGAGGGTTGGGGAAGCGACACAATGGAGACTCCCAGGGTCAGGATGAAGAGTGAGATCCAACGCTTCATGCCGAGCGCGCGTCGGAGCATCGTGACGGAGAAGACTGCTGTTGTGAGGATCTGCGGCGCATGCAAAATCAGTATAAAGGTTGAAGCCGAGGGATGGCAAAGGCGGCTTTCCAACATACCTTGAGCTGGTAAAGCACTTGGAAGTGCACGGCGTCCAGATTACCAACGGCAATGTATTGCAGGGTGTTCTGCAGAGTGTATAGTGTGGCGGGTATGGCAAGCTTCCAGCCGTCGCCCGAGAAGACAGAATTGAAGATCTGCTCGAAAATGACAGTGGCAGGCGTCGAAGGAGCCAAGGTCCGCGAGACTTCAGCGATGGAACAGGTCAAGCAAATGGACAGCTTGATGACCTCGTTGAGGAAGACGGCGGTGGATGTGAAGTATCGGTGGTCGCCCACGGGAGGCATGATGCGGGAGTAATGCATGATCTACCATGATCTAGTCAGCGCCGTGTCGCGAGAGGCAAGGCAAGGCGATGAAGGGGGAGATGCATACCAGAATCAACGCTGAGTTTTGGAAGGTCAGCTACGAACGAACGAGGCCATTGTCAGCATTCCCAGCCTTGTCCACGAGGCGCAATCGCGCGAGGCTCTGCGCGGGCAGTTGTTGTGCATACCGTGATCAGAGAAACCTGCTTCATGGACATGCCAAGAAGAGTCGGGCCCCCCGCCGGCGGCGCGGCAGCGTCGAGGAGAGCCATTGTGGCTGACGGCGATGGAATTGAGGCTGCCAAACCGGAAGGATCGGCCGTTGACGATGTTTATTTCGGAGGTTAAGTGGTGGTTTCGTGCAGTTCGGTGTCGTCCTCTCCGGATTGATATTCTGCTTGGTCGGGGGATTTGTGTTGTCGACAGTGGCTTGCGATAAGGGGAACAAAGTGGGTGTGGAAAGAAGCTTGGCTGAAAGCTCGTCTTTTTTGGCACCCTATTTTTATTTGATTTTTATTTTTGTTCTCGATTTCCTTGGTCGGAACAGCGAGCGAATCGGGGGGGGAGGTGACAATACCAAGGGGTCTAGAACAATGTCAGAGCGAGGGGCCGCCTGCCGTGGGAATAGTGGATGCTTGTCCAAGGGCAGCAACAGGTGAGCGAGCAGCAAGGGCAATTTGAGGCAGACGACAGGTAGGTAGAATAGAACAAAATGCTCAAAGGGGTAGGGGAAATCAGAAAGGGGAAAGAAGAAGGGGAGGAAAGGTTGCATTGATGGCATCGAAGAGGGTTTGGAAGTATGTCGCGTTTCTCAATGCCCCCCCCCTTCCAAAAGCATGGGACGTGTGTCCAGCCCCAACCCAGACAAGGCAAGGAGAGAGAGTGTGTGTTTCCTCTCCTAGAGGTTCTGGGTGTGCCGCGTCCGTGATGCAGGTCCCTTCCTTCCCTGACTGGGTGAGTCGACCCCTGACGTAAGGGAAGAACAAGGGCAGGAAGGAGCAGGGGGGAGGAGGAGGAGGAGGAGGAGGAGGAGGAGGCGGTAGCATGAGCACACAGAAGAATACCTACTTAGGATGGCACGATGGGAAAATGATTGTAAGGGAAAGAGGGCGAGTAGGTACGTACTTTTTTTGGTATGGGAGAGAAACGGAAACAGGGGCCGGTTAGCTACTACGGTAAGTTACGGATACACCTAAGCATCCGTACCTAGGTAGGTAATGTACAGGGTACCTAGTCAGGTGGTTGCTGCAGCCTGCAACTGCGCCGTCTTTTCTGCTTTGCTTTGCTTTGCTTTGCTTTGCTTTCTTTTGGCCTTGTTGTCTATTGTCTGTTGGCTGGTGGTCCACGGGCTGTTGACTCTGCGGTATGTTGTTTACTGATTATTACACTCTCAGGTTACCGCTATCGGGTATCCGGTGTCAGATGTCCACGGCCACTGTCGGTCTCCCCCTGCCTGGGGTTCCAGGGTCTCGCGATGGGGGGTGTTTGGAGACAAGTACTTGGAACCTCGGTACGCCAAAGCCGCACCTCCAAGTACTCTGGACTTGGTTGAAACTTCAGACTCGCCTATCTCTGAGGTTAGTAATGGGGAAAGATTTGGCCGCAGCTCAGGCTTCCTCGGCCTCATTCGTCCATTTCCCATCGCCTTGCCTCACCTTTTCACACTTCTCAAACTCTGCCCAACGTGAGCTTCACAAGATTCTGAGGAGAAACAGAGGGAGACAGAGACACAAGAGAATCAGAAACACGTACCGTAACCCCGTCTCCGCCGTAATATCCGCTTTATGCGAATGGGAGCGTCGATGCGACAAGAAACAACCACCGTACTTCAAGCGCAATGCAGACGGAGAGCCGCCCAACGACCCACCCTTCAGATCCAATGATTTCAGTCCGGACCAAACCCGCTCAGCCGTCCGAGCGTGCCGTCGTGCCGTCCAAGCCCGCCGTCCGCCTCTCGGCCTATCTGCCACGAGCCTCTCTTGCTTAGATATGCTCGGTTGCCCAGGCCACCCAAGAGACGATTGCTGCAGTCTTTTACCCGGCCTGTACGGAGTACGGTAGACCAAGCAGGTGCCAATGCCAAGGGCTGCCTATACAGAGTGCCTGGCGCCCGACAGCTCAGGTCCCGACGCAAACAGACGCGCAAGAATGCAGACCGGACGGGTCTCGACCAAGCTGGACAAGTCAGCAATTGCATCATCAGCGAGGGCGAAGCACAGGCACCACCACACACCAATGATCAGTGATGCCTCGACAGGGATCACCTTTTTCGTTTCCGCCCCTATTTTCCTGTTCTTGTCCTTTGCCCCCCAGCCGTCAGCGAAGATCCGGGGAAGCTGCTGATAAAGCTTTCTTGGTTGGCAGCAAAGCGAACACGACCGAGGCAGACTGCAAGACATGCTTCGTCGCTCCAATACAGCAACCAGCCGGCTGCGAGACTCAGCCGTTATTTATGCCGTTTATAATTCTCCCGCCTTACCCTCACCGACGATTCCGTCCAACTCTCATCGTGGACGTGATCATGGGTTCCAGCAAACAAGCCACAAGCCTATCTATCTAGGGTATAGGGGGCGGGGAAACTCCCAGTGGTCTCTGAGCCCCATGCACAGTGAACTGTCCCGACTGGCTCTAGCTCCAGCATGGCGTCACCTGGCATTTGACCGAATCATCACTTCAACCTAGTAACCAAGTCATCCAGGCCCCAAAGGCGCCATCGGAACAAGCTCACTGGACCAAAGGCATTTCCACCTTTTCTACCATATCCCAATCGGCACTCCAACCACTCCCTCCCCCGCGCGACTCTCCCGCCGCCACGTCCAACGAGCCTAGCCCCATGACCCGCCTACACGGACCACTGGTGTCACCTAAATGGCGCCCGAAGGGTGGTGGTAGTGAATGCCCTGCAACGGTTAGGAGAGACGCATCAGGTCCTATTTCGTGGTTTTCGGACGGCGCGTTTCCGCGTCTGAGATCGCTACGCATTTGACAGCTGCCATTTCGTTTGGACTCGGGACGGCCCAAAGTCGATGCTTGCCGCGATTCCACAGGATGAAAGCCACGAGGGCTGGTGTTCCCCCTAGTTCCTACGCCTCCCTAAGGTTTCTGTCCTGCCATTGGATCGCTCGGGGAACCAGTTCACCGCTCATGTCTCAGGTTGGATTGCCTGATCTGGTGCTCAGTTCAGCCACTCAACTCCCCGTTAAGCTATGATAACCCTAGTGGAATCTGGTCCTGAATTGACGTTCCGCACTCTATTCTGAAAGGTATCCAACAGAAATAGGTCGATTTGTATGGGACCTCCGACACACCTGGTACCATTCACCGACCTCCGCACGGATTGAGCGTTCGAGCTCACAAAACGCTTACATAATCATCATGCTGTCATTAAGAGTATTCTACAAGTCTCAGCCCAGAGTAAAGAGTATTGATGAACGCTCTCTACGTGCACAAATTGCATCCTGACACTGTGCATAACATAAACACCAGCCTTGTTATAGGGGTGGGGGGATTGTTCTTTTTGTCGTGTCATTCTCGTTGGCCCCACGTGATGTCAATGTTCGAAACTTTACTTCAACCACTAACTTGCCTAGTTCTCTAGCTTGTATTTTTGAACGCGGGCAGTTGGTCGTACCGGGCCTCGTATTGTGCCAGTTCACGGTCCCAAGTGTGAATTACTCCTACCTGCGTACGCCATTTAACTGAAAGTGGTGTGGGGTAAAAGAGGACATCAGCGGTGCGGTGCGTAGCATATTGCTAACCACCCTACTAAAGCAACACAAGATGCCTCGCCTCGAGCTTGAAATTTATTACTGATCAGAGGTGCTTACCTCTGACCCGCGCATCCGCAGCCAGTACCAAGATGTCATTAGCGGGTACGGGGCGGAAAACAAGGATCGGTTGAAGAGCATTGCCAAGAAGTATGACCCAAGGGAAGTCTTCCAGAAGCTGCAGCCGGGATTTGCATCTAGGATACAATACTCGAGGTTATTGACGGCGGCTTAGATAAGCACGATAATGATAGGATGGGAGGATAAGATTAGATAAGGTTCAAAGAAAGTGATAGTCGCGAAGCTCCGACAGAGCTTCCCCTAACAACGAGCATTGCAATGTGAGGACGTCCCAGGATGCCGTCTCAGTTCATACCCGCCCGCAGCTCCCGTCACCGCGTCGCCTGCATAGCCCTCTACCGCTCCCTCATCCGCGAGGCGCGCGCGATCCCCCTCCCCGACGATGTCCTCCGCAAAGGCACGCAGAACCCGATTCCGCGGCTCGTGAAGAAGGCCTTCGCGCGCAACCGCACAGAGGCGAGCTACCGGATCGTCTTCTCAGCGCTAGGGACAGGTTACAACGTATGCCACACGTCCCTTCTCTTTTTCGCCTCAAGTTTCCGGGCTGTACCCCAGGTCACAGGCTAACGACTGCTCTCCAGTTCCTCAACCTCTTCAAGGCTGCACAAACCCCCGACTCGAAGGAGCACTCCCAGATCATAGCCCACCTCCGCGACAAGAAGCTCCGCGACGCTAAATCCGAGGCCGGCAAGCCCCCACCCCGGCCCCCACGACCCGCCAAGCCCAAGTGGCCGCCCCTCCTCCAGAAGGTCTCTAAGGAAGGCGATCCTCCGGCTTACGTCTCCCCGCGCTTCCCCGTGCCGCGTGAGCACCTCACCGGCGCGCGGCGCGTGCCGTACGTCTCCATAACGGCCGAGGGCATCGCATTCCTGCGGCAGAAGAAGCCACAACAACACTGGGTCGGGCTTTACATCCGGCGCAAAACCCGGATCAAAAGGCGCGCGATGGACCTGATGCTCGGCTCGACACGCAAGGACTTGCCGTGGGTCGCGCAGGAGGACAGGTGGGAGGAAATTGTGAAGCAGGAGATGGTCGAGGCGCGGCGGCGGGAGACCAGGGAGACCAGGGAGGCCGGGAAGGCTCCGTGTGGGAAGCAGAGGGAGGCGTTGGATCGGCTGCTGCAGCCCGAGAGCTATGGGCAGTCGGTGGTGGAGAACTGGAAGTTCGCGAGGCAGACGCTGCAAGACCTGATGGCGAACGAGGCCGCGCGTGCGAGGGCGTTTGTGAACATCCGCAAGGCGGAGGCGGCGATGCTCGAGGAGGAGGACCGCGACCATCTGGCGAGGGGCCACCGCTGGATGGTGGATACCCCTGAGAAGAAGATGCAGAGGCACAAGCGGTACCGCGCGGCCATGAATGCGGCCAAGGTCGACCGCAGGGCCAAGAAGAAGGAGAAGAAAAGGCAGTCGCGGGTGAGAGGGTTGGCGCCGGCCCCCGTCGAGGTTTGACAGGCTTGTCTAGCGGGCGAGCCTCCTCAACCTAACCTGTACCCATCTGAATTTCGGCAATGATACCACTTTGCGCCTCGTTTTACATGTTGCAGCGATGTCAAGATTGAAGAAAAAACAAGTACTTTTATTGTCATGACTTCGTGAAAGCTATTATTATGTTTGTAAAACGTATGTATTTACCGGCCCTCCCATTTTTTTCGGCCGTAAATCAGCCGTGAATATCTTCTGTAGTGCCATCGTCTTCACCTGACGCGCTCTTTGCTCCTCTCGGGGCTGCCGGGAGCGGTGTCGATCTGCGGCGGTGGACCCACCATCTTCGCCAGAGCGTGAGACTCGCCAGCGACGGCTGCCCAGCTCCTTCCTGACTGCAGTGATGGAATTTTTACCTGGCCTAAGCCGTCTAGCGACACCTCACTTCCAGCGACAGATGCGAGTTCCGCCTTGGTTGTGCGGGGAGAAGATAATACGGAAGAAGACATGGACGGTGGAACAGAATGAGTAGGACTCAAAGGCCTGTAGGACGGCTCCGGGTCAGCAACCTCCCGGACTACAACATCGAAGCCGGATTGTTTCAGAAAGGGACTCATTGCCGGGGGAGTGAATATCTCAGTGCTCGTCTCGAAGCTACGGCGCGAGAATATGGATGATGACGTGCTGGCCTGCGTGCTGTCCGCCGAGCTGCTATCTCTGTTGAGCTTGGGTGCGCTCGATCGTGGAGTGGCCGGAAGCTTTGCGAGGATTGGAAGACGGGAGTTGGAGCCCCGTGAGGACAACATGCCACTTGCTTGAGGATTTGGCGAGGGTGTCTCCGATGGCCGCGGTGCAGGATCAGGTCTGAAGGCGCCTGACATAACAGCAGCATTGGGGGTGACCCATGCCTTGTGAGGGCCACTTGGAATCCGCGCTGTCGGCGTCGGACGCGGGGCTGCCGAGGATGAAGCATTTGTCGAGGGAGAGGGACGTATCGCGGCTTGACGCACAGGGTGGGTGTGTGGCCTGGTGTTGATGCCCAGGCCCTGGTGTAAGTTGGTGATGGCGGCGTTGGGCGTGAGGCAGACGTTGAGGTTGGTGTTAGGCAGGGGTAAGCCTGTCCGGCTGTGCCTTGACTGCCTCTCCAGCTCGTTGACCCGTTCTTCTAGCTTTCTCCGTTTTTGCCTTTCATCGTCGCGCTGCTTCGTCAGAAGCTCGGTGTCCCTGGCGTGCTTCTTCTCCTGGTTCTCTAGGCGCAGACGGTAAGTTTCGTCCATGGCTCTCAGTGATTTGACTTCCTTCTGCAGCCGCTCCTTTTCAGGCCTCAATTGGGCGTTCTCGGCAGCCGCAGCCGCAAGTCTCACGTCGATACGGTTGCCGACAAACCGGGCACTCTTCCGACAACAGCTGTTATGATAGACCTGTTCGATGCCACCAAGGTCAACGAGTTCCTGGTCCACTTGGTCGGCCCGGGGTCTGGCCTTCGGGTCAGAGGAGACCATTTTCCCAGTGAGACCGAGAATGTGGCGTGGCGCGACAGTCGGCCGTTTCACGTCGTGGAAACGCTGAGTTGCCAGAGCATGAAGAGCCAGTTGCTCTTGGTGAGCCGCGAGTTTCTCGGCCCGGGAATGGGGCAGCAAATCTCCGACCACCGAGTGGAAGTTGTTCAAATCACCATGAAACACAAGCGTAGCAATGTTGAGGTATATGAGGCCCAAACAGTATATGTCGGCACACTGCGTGGAGTACTCCTCGGGGACATAGGCCTCGGGGGGGCGCCACTTGGGGGTGCCGTGAAGGCCCATGGTGGCAGTGTTTTCCTGGCCATGAAAATCTCGAGCAATGCCGAAGTCGGCGAGATAGACCTTGTTGGGGTTCAATAAGATATTACTCGGCTTCAGGTCAAGGTGGCGAACTTTGGAGGCGTGACAGTGTGTGACGGCCTGGGCAATGCAGCCCATGATACGTTGAAGGAAATTGAGAGGACACTTGGCCTTGCCAGCGTCTGCTGGACATTTACGACCGCCAGACTCGACGAGGGCCAGGTCAGAGATGTCTAGCTCATCGAGTCTCTTCAAGATATCCTCCCGATCACCCTGGCCGCTTCTCAAGTCGGCGAGATCGGTAAGGAGTTCGTCAAGGTTGCAAACGGCAACGGGCCATACCAGGAGGTAAAGCTCTCGCTGTTTAAAGGTGTAAGTCCCGATCAGCTTGACGATGTGGTCATGGTCCAGACGCTCCATGGCCAGTGCCTCCCTCCGCAGGGTATGAAAGGTCTGGTTGCGTTGGGGCTTGATCCATTTGCGTGCCAGGCGAACAGTGCGGTGGGTGACTCTCTCGACGCGGCCAAATGTGCCCATTCCCAGATCGTTGTCCTTGGGGGCGATGATCTTGGCGTGTATCTTCTTGGCTTCGGCGAAGTCATCTGGGTGTTTTCCACTGCGGCGCGGTGCTTTGTTGTCAACTTGAGCGCAATGGACGTGTGATTGTCGGGAGCCAGAAGAGCAGCAGGAGGGAAATTTGGACTCACATGCCAGACCAATGGCCGCTGGACGCCTCCCATTCCCGGATCTTGGACTTCTCGTATAGTTCGCGGTGAGCGGGCGGGAGGCGATCGGGATGCGGCTGGGATTTCAGGTGGACAGTAGTCCAGCCTGCATCGGAACCCTCGTCGGCCATGGCGTTCAACGTCGGATGGGATGGCAAGGTTGCCGCGAGTTCCTCAACGGCTAGCGGACGGGCAAGCAGTTTGGCCTTTGGTAGAATGCCGTCTAGGATGGCGAGGCAACGGTCATGATGTCAACTGGAGGATGTGGCGCACACCGGCCGCTGGAACGATTAAGGAAATGAGGCAGAGAGAAAGGGAGAGAGGCGATTGCGGGGTGTCAGCCCAGTAGGTAGTGGTCAGAATTGACGACCGTTGGAGTGTGGTTTGTCGATCTTTGTGGAGGGAAGCAGAAGGCAGGGAAGGCCGGAACACGGAGTCTGCCCAGGCAAGGAGGGCCTGGGTAGGTAGGTACCTTGAAGTAGGTAATAATGAAGTAGGTACCTACCCAGGTAGGGTACTTGAAATAGGCGCACAGCCCCGAGGTTGACCCCCTTTCAAGGCTTCGAGGGCCGTGTAACTACAGGCTTTTTAGCTTGTGGGGCTCACATTTAGCCTTGTAGGGACGCAGCGCTGGGGCCATTTGCTGGGGCATGTTCCAAAGTACGTGTAGGTACCTTAGTATCTTAGGCACGTACCGTTCTGTAGGTAGGCAGATAGGTAGGTTCCTACCTACCTAGGTAGGTATGCAGGAATACTACGGAGTATCTTTGTACACAATGCAGAGTAGCGATGCTTCTTCCACCATCATTCATCCTCATCACCGAAGCCAAAGCCTTACTCTCGACCTTGCCCCAATGCCACTCCTGGGCAGCTACATATCCATGAAAACAGTCATCAAATCAACAGACGATGCAATCAATGCAATGGTACCTTCCAGTTGTGAGACACGAACGCATTTTACGTATTCAGGTCCCGATCATGCAGCTAACTGCACATTGAACCATGATTGAAGGTTTCCCACGATGCACAGTCCCGCGTGGCTCCCCACTGACTGACCTTTTTCCATTGGCACCACAGAAGAGGTTCTTTCTTGGCACCTCGGCCCCGACAATCCTTACGAGGCTGGATAAAGAGGACCGTTGCTGACTGTTCTGCAGTGCTCCCATCTCTCGACTCGAGACGCATGGGATGGAAACCCCATCATGACTGGTAGCGACGCAACAATTGGTAACATATCACCCTGTCCAAGACCCAGGACTGTTGACATCACATCCGACGGGCCGCCCAAATTCGCACAAGTTTGTCTCGAGACCTTGTGGGCCTTGACGATGTCAAATCCAGGCCAACGGCCCCACGCAAATGATGTACCAAATGCAACCGTCGTGCTAGCCAGTCCTCTGCGGATTCCGAAGCCGCGCCCGATGCGAACGCTGGCATTGTGTGTCTGCAATCGTGGCCGCTGCCGAGATACCACCTGCATATATCGATACAGCTGGGATCGTCACCGTCTCGACCGAGGTGAGGCAGATGGCTGGTGTGGCTGGGTTCCTCTCAAGCCACCTAAGATACCACTCACTGTGACACGATCTCGCCGGCATTTCATAAAACCCAGATCGGACACACACCACACATACAGCACACGCACAGCACACGCACAGCACACAGCACACAACACAGCACACAACACACAGAAGGACGGGGGAGGTTGGCACCATCGACCTTATCATCATTATGATAAGCATGACGGGCCCTTCCTACCCTGCGCTGTGTGGGATTCCAACCTGGGCAGCTCAAAAACAAGAAAAAGGGGTCCATCAGGCGTCGGGGTGTCGGGCGCGCCGAATACTCGGATATATCTTCTACTGGCACTTGACACTGCGACGACCGGGGAAGCATTTTATCGTGCCTCCGTCTCAGTCCATTAAGACGACGATGCTTACGGTCAAGTCTCACATTACACTGCAATTGACATGGGCGTTTGGGCCTCATTATGATAGCCAGACTAGATGATGGTCTGGGCCAGTTGGACCCACTTCCAGCGGCCGAACTCCTGGGTCCGGACCTGCCCCGCTTGAACGATCCCGAGACGTCCTTACTTTGGTCGAGATCGCGAGGCGAGGCTGCGCTGCTCACTCAACATAGCCCCCTCCCCCAGCCAATCCCGAATGCTACATCCGTCACTGCGAACACGCTATGCATGCGGCCAGTACCGGCCACGTTTTCTGTCGTTTTTGACTTTTGCCATTTTCACCGCTAGGGGAAGCAAGCCGGGGCTGGTTTCGTTGGTGTCGAAACACCGTGCCAGCCTCCCTAGACCGTTCTCTCGCTACCAACTGTTACTCCTGTAGAGCATGACTCTTTCCCCCCTCCCCACCCCTTCTGGACGGGTTCTAGGATGTTTAGGAATCTCTGGCTGGGAATCCCGCTCGCCCTGCTGCGTCGATCACAGCCCCTCGGGAACCAGACCGGCTCCCCTAGTGAGGCTGCTATGTGCTGTTACCTGAGATCGTTACGTCTTCATGGACGAGGCCCGCTGCAATGGATCTACGCGGTACCTGTTCCCGTCTCCCCCCCGGTCCAATCAATGTCTCCGAGAGCTGGGTACGGGCTCTAATCACTTGTAGTTTAGCTTGCAGGCACATTTGGCTCGAGACCGGTGAGCCGAGAACCCTGAACTCGGTATCCTCCTGGGCAAACATTGCCACAGATATACGTGTCCCGCCCGCGGCATTTGAGGCAGCAACCCTTACGTTAACCCGGACCATTCGATATTTGATATTGGTCGTGTCCACCATGGCCTCTAGGCCTTGCGGATGGAACGTTCCACGCAGCTGCAGTTCGCGGATCTCATTTTTACTTAATGGTCCCCTATGAGGACCCCCATGTCGTGCTCACATTCTGAACTCCCCGATTCAACAACCCCTTGTTGCTTGGCTGTATCATGCCCGGCTACACGTGCATCTGTATCTCACCATGACAAGCATTGGTGTTGTAAATCGTGGTCAAGAGCAGCCCTGCCTGCCGGGCCCTCATCAAGAGGATCGGGTTGGCTACCGTAAGGTTGTGGCCAACAATATCACTCCTAGGATGGGGCACTGGCGCGGCATATAGTGCCGACATCGCTTGTTCGCTTTCCTGACGGGTCGTTGTGTCATTCAACCGCCTCGCTGGCATACTTTCTTTTTCTTGCTGTCGATTTTGTCAGTATGCACGGAAAGTTGCCCCTCGAGAGACTCTTTCTTTAAATGGTGTACGACCCTCCCCCTAGACACATTGAGTTGTCCGAGTATTACTTGAACGGCTGAGCTGGCCCAGAAGAGAAGCCTGACTTTTCTTGCTGGCACTCTATCAAGACGACGCCCTCGTATTTTTTTTTCTTCCTCTTTTTTTCTCTTTTTTTCCTTTGCGTGGTTTGTCTTTGACCAACTTCGTTCCATCATCACGACTCAGTAAGTTCTATCTATTTCTACTGTACTTATGAGCTACTGCATGATCAACTCCCGCCTCGGTTCATTCAGGATCGCTGCGAATCGGGCACTTACTGTGGTGGTACTCGGGCCGTCGTCTTGTTATGCATGACTGATGGGTCGCTAGCTCCGCGGGAGACATCAAACGGCACAGCACAATGGTTCAGCTAGCAAACCCTAACAGGACCCAGTGTGCAGCCCGCTGTCCCCCCATACAATACAGCGATACGCAAGATTAGCCCCGTTAGTCGGCATTCAGGCTCAACCTGGATTCGGCTGTTGCTGGCTCGCCCACTTTATAACCGGTGAATATGAGTAATCATCCCCGTCCCAGCGGCTTGGAGATGCCATCCGACACGGCCGACGATTTGGACGAGCCGCCTCCGCCCCCCCCTCACCAGACATTTGTTATACACGGGTTTCCTGACCAAGAAGGCCGACGGCTACCCTGGCGACCCTTATCGCATCGTCGTCGATTCATTGAAAAGCAGGAACAGCCGGAACATAGCGGCGTCGGTGCATTTCCTTTCCCGGCCTCGTCAACCCCAACGTCGACGTCGTCCCAGGGAGAAGAAGGTGTTCAATCTATTGTCACCCCTGCTCAAGCGCACCCGGCCTCTTCTCACCCCCATCTTCTTCTGAATCTTTCATTCTCCCATGCTCAGCCGCGCTACAACCAGCCCTATCAGCAACAGAGCCAGGGTGACTTGTATCACAGCGGGCACGGCCAGGACACGGTAGTCTACCACGACCCCCAACATTACCAACACCCCCGGCCCCAGCTCCAGCAAAGCGCAGGGCACCGCCGCCATCAACAATTCATCCCGCCTACCTCTCTCGCGGACTCTCGCCAGCCTTCCTCCAACGCCTTCTCAATTCCCGACTCGGCATCTTTTCTTCGTCATCCCCACGACCCTAGGTTGTTGCAAGCCCAATCCCAAGCTGCCACACAGAGCGGCTTCGAGTTCCCCCACCGGGATCCTGGGTTCCCCCAAATTAGCCCTGGCGATCTAGTCCCGATTCGATTTCAAGGTCCAGATCACATACACGTCCCTCAAGAGTCTCTAGCTGGTTTCCCTCTGTCCGGTCACCCTGCTGGACAGGCCCAATTGTTTTATCATCACAACAGTGACCACCACGTTCATAACAGCTACCCTGGCGTTCTTCAGTTTCCTGGCGGTTACCCGATAGCATTCATGCCGCCGAACCCCGAGCTCAACATCCTCAATGCTGAGTCGTACAACGACGGCAAGTTGGGGTTTCGCGCGCCGCGAAGTCTTCCTTCGGGGAGGCCCCGGAGAGCGGCGACAGGCGATGAACCACCAAGGTCCAAAAAGCGGACCAAGGCTCAGTCTTCCGAAGCAGGCGAGCTCGAGGACGAAGACAAGAAGAGATCGCGGGGTAGGCCGCGTCTAGATACAAATGATGAGACAGCCAAAGACGTAAGTTGCTATCCACCACCGGCCTTCTGCTGCCTTTTCCTGCGGTAATATAACTGCATTTTGATTTTGTTTCATGCCCGCAATGCCTCAGAGCGTGCATAAGGTCCATCTAACCAGAGTAGCGTCGCCGCACCCAAATTCGCCTCGCCCAGAGGGCCTACCGCAACCGTAAGGAGACAGCCATCCAGTCACTTGAGAAGAAGGTCGATGAGCTCAGGAAAACCAACGAGGAAATGAGTAAGGAGTTTATGAGGCTTTACGACTTCGCCGTCAGCAAGGGCATGCATGAGAGCACGCCCGAGTTCGGACGTCAGCTGCAGGCGACGACGGAGAAATTTGTCGCCCTGGCACGGAGATCGAGCGAGGAGCTCGAAAACGACGGTGATTTGCCCACCAGCCAAGACAACGACGTCGATGCGCAAGAGGCCAGCCCAACCATAGGCAACGCTGGGCTCAGCGACACGTCGGGCTCACAAGACGTCGCCGTCAAACCCGCCGAGATGATGTATGGAGGCTTCATCGTCAGCCATGGCGAGGACACGGCACACTCGACCCCTCGCTCCCAGACGTTGACGGCAATGCACACGACATCGTGGGCGACCGACAGCCAACCGCAAGCGCCACAATCGACGGCTCCCCAGGCGCCTCTAGGCTACGAAATAGTGACGGAGCCGACGACGGACAATGCTAGCTTCCCATTTGGTATGTCTTTCGATGATAGCCTGGATCAAGCAGGCTCTCCCAATCTATCCGGCCAGCCCATTTCCGAAACCCTCTTCTCCATCATCTCTCCGCCGAGCTCCTACGCGTACCAGGAGCGTACGTTCGGGAGGCGGCTGCAGCGGTCGACGTTGGAGAAGGCCTACTTCCTGGTGTGTATGCCGGACCCGCCGCCGGCCCTCATGTCCAGAGCCTTCGGCTTCTGCCTGCTGTTTGAGCCCAAAGAGCGCATCAAGGAGAGACTTGCTAACTGTCTCAGAGTGAAGGAGCGCGAGTCTATGTTTAATTGGAAGTTCCCCTTCTGGAACCTGGGTGGTGGTGGTACGTGGTTCGACGAGATGGACGAGACGGATTACTCGCGCGCCGGCAAGCTGAGGGGCCCGGTGGGGAACCAAGGCACCGCCGAGCCGCACCGGCACAAGGTCGACTCGATGTTCGGGCTGGGACCATGGGACGCCCGGACGGAAGAGACACGGGATCTGAGGGTCGACCACGAGGCTGCCAAGCTCCACATGAGCGTGCCGGGCTTCGAGGGCGACTTTTACGACGCAGACGAGGTCGAATGGGTCCTGCAACGGCGAGGCATCCTCATCCCGCCGGCGGCCGACTTCGTTACGGCCGAGATCGATCCCGCCGACTTCTCGACCGACACGGCCGCGGGAGGGCAAGTCTTTGGGACGGGTTCGCAAAGCAGCGTGGACGACATAATCGGCGGGCTGCGCCACGCCGAGAAAAGCCCCCTAGCGCACTTTGCTAGGGGGTACGTCGGTATGAACCTGAAGCCGACGAGGGCGTCTGACATCCACAACGGCGCGCACTCCGTGGCCCGTACGGAGGAGGCATTGCCTGCCCTGGAAGACATCGATCCCAGCATCGATCCCAGCCTCGGAGGCGACGCGTTCGGGCTAGGCGAGAAGCCGGTGAACGGGGTCTCGAACACAGGGTCGAGGCAACGGCTGGTGACGATCAACGTCGGAGTCTTGGTTCAAGGTACGCTTGCCCACACTTTCGACTGGCGAGGGAGTGCAAAGCTGACCCGACACAGAGATTGCGCTGAGGTCGGTTTGCTTGGGACGGACGCCGGGTGTGCGGCCGAAGGATGTCAACGTCGCATTTTGGGCGTCGCTGGCTGTATAAAATGCCGGCTTTGGGACGCTTGGTCCCGGACGGCTAGACCTTGCCTATCCCGGGATGGCACGCACGATGCTTCGGCGGTGAATTGGGACCAAAGGCCCAATGCGACGGAAAAGTTGTGTTTCATCGTTTTTTGTTGTCTTTGGTTTGGTAGGCGTTGGATGGTATGGCTTCTCCGTATGGGTCTCTCTACCCAGTTTGTGTCGCATGTCGCAGGTGCAGGGACGGGGAAAATACGGCATGGACATCTACTTATGTTACAATGGTTAAATAAAAATGAATCTTTCTTGGGATTTCGTCCGTTTTCATATAAGGCAATGAAGGGGCAAACCATCATCGACGATTATCTCGAAATTGTGTGGTTATTGCTTTTTATCTTCTTCGGACGTAGTATCAGAGGCCGTCAAAACCCAAACAGATTTGGGGTCCCAGCAACGGCTGTCAAAAATGCTCCCTCATTACTCCATTATCATTACTAATTTCAAAAGATCCGTTTACGCGTCCCTTCGTCTAAGCCGTGAGAGAGCAGGGGGGGGCATCTTAGTTGCGGACATACTCGACGGGCTCCAGCGCCGCGTCCACGCAGCCGGCGCCGGCGTTGACGGGGTTGCAGCGGGCGGCGGCGCCGCCAGCGAAGCGGACGGCGTAGTCGACGTCCCAGCGGGTGCTCATGCCGTAGGCCTGAAAGTCGGTCGAGACGATCTGGGCGCCGCTCGAGAAGGCGGCCTCGCGCATGGACGTCGTGTCGTTGGACAGGAGCGTGTCGAGGGGCACGTCGGCGCGGGTGCGCACCCAGTAGCCCGCCTGGACCTGGGCCCTGATGTTGGCCTGCTCCGTGCCGGTGGGGTCGTTGAGCTGGTCCGGCTCGTTAGTCTTTCCGAGGGCGAAGGAGCAGATGGGAGGGGCGGGGGACGCCTGCGGGACTCACCTTTTGGAACGCGCAGTCGGGGTTTCCGGGCGCCGAGTTGGTGAAGAGGACGCGGCCCTCGAGGTTCGGACGGCCGTCAATGTAGGCGTCGCGGACGGGATGGACGGACCCGTTGTCCATGAGGAACAGGACGCGGCCGCGGGCGCTGTCGAGGTCGGGCCAGCCATGTTGCAGGACGGACTGCTCAAGCGTCAGGTTCCCGTGGCGCAGGTCGTTGGGGACGACGAGCTGGCCGGGGGCGAAGACGCTGCGGATCTCGCTGTCAAGGACCTGGAGGAGGGCGGTGTCGTTCCAGGGGATGGGCGAGGCACCGCCAGCGGCGGCGATCTCGGGGTTGGAGGTCTTGAACTCGATCATGAAGGGGATCGGGACGTGGTCCGGGTGCGCGGCACTCCACTTCTGGACGGCGCCAAGGCAGCCGACCAGGGTTTTGCAGGTGTTGTGGTAGTCGGCGTCGGCGACATGGAGGACCTTTGTGCCGGGGCCGAGGAGGTCCGGGTCCGGGGCCGTCGAGAGGTTAGCGAGCTTGCGGATGAGCGGGGTGGCGTAGTGGCCGCCAGCCGGGTCGGCGAAGAGGTCGAGCTCGAAGTTGCGGATGGACTGGTAAGTGGCCTGGACGTCGAGAGCCGGGTGGGAGTAGTAGTAGTTCTGGACGTTGGAGAGGAGGCCGGCTTGGGCCGGGTGCTCGGTGAGCGGCGCCTCGCGGTGGTACGAATTGTGGGTGCCGATAACCTGCACGTGGTTCATGCGGACGGCGCCCGTGGACCAGGTCAGGCCGTTGCGGGCGTATGGCTGGTCGGCAGGCGAAGCGGCGTTGGCCAAGGGGAGGAGAACTTTGTCCGGGTTAGACTTCGAGTCCGGGGGAGGGATCCTCTGGGAAGGAGGAGGAAGACCGGCTTACAGAGGGCGGCCTTGAGGCCGAGATTGGACATGGGGGCCATTGTGAAGTACGGTCGGACGAGGCAGACAGTTGAGAGAACGCGCACAGAAAGGAGGCACAGACAGCGGTTGGGTCCCTGGGTGAGGCCATCTTTATGTGCATGGAGGAGGGGTCGCCTTCACGTCCCTTCATGTACGGATGAACCAGCATATCTGTGTGGGCTGTTCGATGACGGAGGCACTGACATGGGACGATGCCAGCCAGCTGGGCCAAGCCAGGACACGTGGAGTCGGAAATGATGGATGCAACACTGGGCAGGGTTTAGTTGGATTAGATAGAGATTTCATAAAGACTCTTTTAGTATTTGACCTAAGTGTCCGTACGGTTAAGAAGTGTTTTTTGAACGAGTGAAGGGACGGGACGAGGGAACTCCCCCAGCACCCCCCCCCCCCCTCCCGCCTCACGAGCTTCCCGACTTGGCAGGCCTGAGGGGGTGATCGGCCAATGGGGGGCATAGGGGCGAGCATGTGCCTGGGAGCTCATTTCGAGACCCCTGAAGGTTGTTTCTCGGGGGAGTCGGTCAACGTGAGCCGGACCACGTGGGTGGCGTACAGTAGAAACATGTCGTCTGAAAGACGAAGTATTAGTATGATCGGTCATAGTCTTATTTGTGATATCATAGGCCTCGGTGCCGAAATTCGACATGTATAGGTACCGATGGACTACGGGAACACTTGGCAAATCGATAGTCAATCTTCGATAGTCAATCCCCCTTTGACCGTAAGTATATAGCTTTAAAACGATTCTTCTCCACCACGTTAAAAACACTTTTTAGGACACTGACAAAAGTCCAAAGGGCACGGTTTCATGCTTGATGCCCACTGAACACCAAGCTACATCTGTCTGTGAGTGAGCCAATTCGCCAATACATGCCCCGCGCGAGTCTATCGTCCCAAAATCCGTACATATAATTATGGTGCACGCGTAGTCTACGTCTCATCATAGCGAAATTCTTCAATCTCTGTCCTGCACATGCACGTTGCCCTGCGACTCATCACGAAGTGAGAAGTGAGCCAAGGTTTACGATCGGGCGGCCGTGCGACGTGATCCGTGATAGCGGCAGAGAGACATTCAATATCAAGGTCACCGCGGCGCGAAAAGCTCTTCGATTGCGTTCCCAGGCGGCGGAATCGATACAGCAACGGCCCAATTTCATGGTGTAGACGCTACATACATCACATCGATGGTGGGCCCTCTGTGATGCTTCACTCGGGCCTTTTCACTCCTGAAAGCCAACAGCTCTCTACCCGAACTGTTATCGGGGTAGTCTGAATCACAGCAATGAAACGAATGAAATACCATGGTAATCTGCTCAAAGTCTTGCTTAGAGAAACTTCCTACGGCAGTGCAGCCGCATTCACTCTGAGTCTCACAGCGATTGCTCACTGATCTCGCCTTAACCACAACCATTCGTTTACACATCGGAGACTTGACTTGACCGATGAGGTGCTTCGTTCCCTGCTCGCCGTTCACGCTAACCTTACTCGCTCATCAAAACTGCCCACTCAACCGCGCTGGAGGATGTTGTAACCCCCAAAATCCCCAAGATCAAAAGATCGACGCCGCAATGCTCCCCGCCAACTGCAATGCTCCCCGCCAACGTATCACATCCTCTACCCCGCGTGCTGGCTGTTCACCAAAACACCATAATCACAAGTCTTGTACCGTCGCCAGCGCAAGCCCTCATCATCCGAAATGGACAGTACCAAAGCCGTCGGAACGAACCCCATCGTCGGACCCAAAGTCGAGTACCTAGGCCTCCAGAAGGCGGACAACAGCTGCTCGCATCGCGACCTGGGCTTCACGGGCGCCATCGCGGGCAAGTGGTACGCCGTCTGGGGCGACGTGCTCTGGTGTGACGAGGGCGTGACGGATCCCGAGAACGACACGCCCGGCTTCCACGGCATGGTGCGCGACGCCGTGTCGGCGATGACGGACGACCCGCTGCTGGTGCACGATCTAAATCTCGGTGATAACCAGCGGCAGAGACAGTTTATCCCATTCAATCCTTCCTGGGGAGAAAGGTTCGATACCGGGTTTGGCGGCACGAGCTTGGTTGAGACCGACGCCGCCGCTGGAACCGGAGCCGTCTTCTACTTGGTTGTAAGTCGATTTCGGAATGTCAACTCTCATATACACCTCTTCCTCGGCCGCATGCAAACAATAACGCACCTAGAACCAAAACGCGGCAGGTCTCATCGGCGCCGGCATCGCCCAGGTGAACGTCATCAACGGCACGCCCGTGGTGACCAAACGCTACGGCGAAAGGGGCTACTGGTGGCCTGCTGCCAGCAACCCACGATACGGAGATATCGCAGCGTTCCGTGATCCGCTGTCAGACTGGATATACGCCTGGGGCGGCCCGCCGACGACCGTCCTCAGCAGCGACTGGCTCCAGAATAGCTACGTCTACATGGTTCGCGTCAGGGCCTGCGAGGCGTTCGACCTGTCCAAGTACGAGTACTGGTGGGGCCGGCAACGAGGGTGGAGGATGGACCGGTTGACGACTTTCACGCCCGAGACGGCCACCGTATGGGGCACTGGGCAGGGGCAGGTTGTGTGGAATGATTTCTACCATTGCTACATCTTTGTTCATCTGGGTACTTTCCTTTCAGACCACCACCGTATCTCTCTGATTCAGCTGACGTCTATTAGGAATTGGTGGTGGTTCCGTCTTTTTGCGGACGGCTCACAGTCCAGAGGGCCCCTGGACCCCGGACCTCAAGATATTCGAGGCCCAACCCATCGACGGTGGCCTGGTTTACGCTGGCGTTGCTCATCCGTACCTTGATGAGTCTGGGAAAACGCTGGTCATATCCTTCACGAACAACAACAGGATCCAGGTGATCAGAGTCACCTTCTCAAAGTGAGGAACGAGGCAGTGCAACACTGAGATGACAAGGTGATTCAATGATTTCATCTCATTATTTCAAAGTATGGGAATCATAAAATACAGGGCTCAAAGTCATGCTAGCTTGAAATCCGCCGAATATTTGGCACCGGAAGCGGCCTCGGTTCTAAGTAGGTGAAAGGGCAGTGGTGCGTCAGACTTTAAGCAATCTGCGGTTCGGGCAGGTTCCTCCAGTCGTTTCGGTTGGTTCGTGTCGGAACAGAGATGTGATCTCCATTGGCCGTCTTCTTCAACCTTTCTGGCTCCCTAGAAAGGGAGATTAGAGTCACCGCACCCCCTGTATTTCAGCGTGAAGTTGATCGTCAGCATCTATTGCGAATAAGAAGTTTTCAAGGATGAGTGGGTGCCAATCAAACCTGGGAGCTATCATTTCAATTTTCTTGGGACGGCGAGTGACACATAGTCAATCTCCAATTAGATGCGGTCTGGCGGCATGAGTCAATGTCCTCAATTGGCCTCAGTTCCTTGGTGGATAATGATAGCTTATAAGTAAGCGCCGTCGTTCCATCTTCCAACCTCCAACATCCAGCTTCCCTTTGTCTTTACTTTTCCCAGGCAAAAGATCTCTTCTCTCTTACGCGCCCGTTTTGGTTTTGACGGCAAAGCATCATTTCTCTCACCTTTCTTCTACATATACGTTGAAAATTCACAGGAACAAGAGAGAAGAGCTGAACATCAGCCGCCATGGCTTCCGACGAACTGTATGATCTGCTCTTCCTGACGGACGCCACTGCGTCCATGCGCAGTTACATCCAAGCCCTCAGCCAGTCGCTTCCAGAAATCATCCGCATCTCGTCTCTCACAGGCTCCTTCTCACGCATAGGAGTCATGGCCTACCGAGATTATTCCACTGACAATCTAACGGAATGGTCTGGCTGGCACACAACTTCCGTCGATGGAACTAACGCCGAGTCGACCATACAGGACAGCCTACTTGATATGGTCGGGAAGATTCGACCGGACTCGGGCTGGAGAAGTGTCGACTGGCCCGAGGCAGCAAAAACTGGGCTCGCGCGGGCTTATAGCGTGATGCGCCCGGAGGCCACTACCATCATTGTCCTCTACGCTGACGCCCCTCCTCACCTTCCAGGCACCGAGACTCGCAATCGACTGAGGGAAATCGAACACCTGTCCAAGTCGGATACTTTCGGCGGGCACGGGAAGCAATTTGTAGACTGGATCCTAGGCTCCAAGACCCTTCGGGACAGCGAGAAGAGAGCCAAGGTTTTCCCTGTCATTCAGGGGGGCATCGCTGATAGCGTCGCTCCTTTCATCTATCTCGCCCACATAACAAGCGGAGTCTGCTTCAAGTTGGAAAACTCCCACGCCGAAATCTCTACAGCGGACGCCATCTCTCAGCTGACTATTAGCATCCTTCTCAACTGGATGGGTGCCGGAAAGCAGGGCGCCTCCGTCTCCGGTCAGCATCGTTTCGCCTACGTTTGCCAGTACAGAGATACGCATACAATTGAGAATGTCAAGAATGAGGAGGATAGGGCAGCCGAGATCTACTTCCCAGTTGACCGCCTTATCGTACATCCCACTGTCAACAACGTTACAACTGTGCACTCTAGCCTCTATGAACTGGCCAACTTCATAGAAAGTCGGCAGAAGCCCTTGGACTTTTCGAAACGGTATCAGGCCGACGAAACGTATCGTACTTTCGTTGTTGAACAGCTTAAATCCCTCATCGAATCAAATGTCACTGCCATCGCGGTCAACCCAGTCTTTGGCAGTCTCTGGAGAACAGTCTGCACCGACCGTAACAACCCTGCTCGAGATGAGCTTATCCAGGCTTTTGGTTATCGTGTAGATCGTATCTCGGACTCTGAGAAGAAAGCCCGTATGAAGGACTGGCTTGCAGAGTCTTATGATTATGCTGCCGAGATCCTGGAGGTAGTTGAGAGCGTCCCCGAAGCCCAGAGATTCCCCTGTGTATTCATGGACCCTACTGAGTCCTTCTGGACTGGGGGCGAAAACAGGGTCTCGGAGGGAAAAGAGGATAATGGTGATTACGACGAAGAAGGGGAAAGGCTCAATGAATCTATCACAACAGCATTCACCAGAGAGGATCTTCTGGAGATTGGGCGCTCTTGCGACCACCGCGTTCTCCGACGTCTTGGTAAAGTTCTCACACGCCTAACCTATGTCAATTCCGAGTCCGAATTGCCCGCTCACGTAAGAGCCGCCGACCAGGTCCCACGACTCCCAATGGCTCTTGCAACTGCAGAACACCGGCGCAAGTTCTGGAAAGTTCTTCTTCACCTTGTACTGCCTGGAACAATGCTGGCGGCTCGTCCAGCCGCACTTCTTGCTGCACTAGCCCTTCGGATGGGCATTCGGCCACTCAGAGATGCTGCCGACCAGGAGCTACTCTGCTTCACTGACAAGTGGAATAGCCTGGATATTCCCGAGACATGGAACGCCAGCTGCTTGTCGCTCCTCCTGGACGCGGACAAAGACTTCGAAAGGCGAGTGGCTGAAGGTGTGACGCAGCGTCTAGCTCCGGATTCTCGGATTCTACTTGAAAAGGACAGTCGTCTGTTCAAGACTCTAGTCGACTACAAGCTGCTCGAGTTGAACCTGAGCACCACGATCCTGGCCAAGGTCGGTTGGTGTCCTGAGAAGTCAAAGGTTGCCATTGGCCCTTTGGTTGTCTGTAAGGGCTGTAAGTTCCCGCGTTCTGTCACCATCATGGGCAAGGATGGCTTCTGCGGTCTCTGCCCTCAAGACCACCAGTGTTCGTGTCGAGTCTGCCAGCCACCAAAAGACATGGAGCGTCGCCTCTCACAGAATGTGAGCTATGATGACACAGAGCGTACCGAGGCTGTTTGGGTCGAATGTTTCACTCCGACATGTCGCGGGCAGTACGTTGTATACGGCCCAGGGGATCTTAGAGTCCGGGCGAAGTGTTACTACTGCCGGCACGCAAATTCGTCCACGACTGAGTTCCAGAAAGCGCCCTGCGTGGAGTGCTCCCAGTGCCTCAACCGCATCATCTGGCCGGAAATCTATCGACCAGTAGACCTCGATTTGTCCACCTTCAAGTGTTACGCCTGTAGAGCGAGCCGGGTCACTGTGATAGACTACGAGACTTCTGCCAAGTCGTTAAGCACTGAAAATGGACAAGCTTGGCTTCTGCGCAACGAGGGTTCCGCCATCAAATACCCCTTCAACGGAAGATCTCTTTTCCACACCGTCTCAAACATTCCCGAGACTGAGCGTGAATCACTTGCAGACAATGTCGAGATTATTCCATTGCTACAGCGGCATTCCCAGCTCACGATCCGCGGCAAGACGATCCATAACCAGACTGAGATCTGTGACAGGCTCCGTGGATGGGTGCATTCCCGGCGAACAGAGACAGGCCACTGCAGCCTGTGCTTCTCGAGTTTCAAAAAGAGGAACCTTCGACAGGCCTGCGGTAGGAAAGGCTGCGATCAGATGGTTTGCGATGGCTGCTTGAAAGAGTGGTATGGTCTCAACGCTCGCGGTAGGCTCATCAATGCTGCTGCTCTCTGCTGCCCCTTCTGTCGTCGTCAGCCTACCGCCAAAACGGTCTCCGCTTTCGGTGTGTCTTACATCGGCGACCTGAAGACGGCGTTGGCGGATGTCGAGTGGATGCACGGATGGTGCCGGGATTGTGGATTCGCCCGAAGGTACGCCGAAAGGGTCTGCGCTGCCGGGGCCCCCGAACTCTCCAGGTGGTCATGCGATGTTTGCAGAGAAGCCAATGCCCCGGCGCTTCGGATTCGAGACTGTCCTGGCTGCGGGGTGCCGACAGAGAAGCTGAGTGGATGCGGCCACATTACTTGCACGGTCCCAGGATGCTCTGCTCATTGGTGCTTCTTCTGCGGAGAAAATGTTGGCTTAGAGAATATTTACCCCCATATGAGCAGTGTACATGGGGGCCTTTGGGACGATGAAGGATAAGAATACGACGAGTACGACTACTAGTAATGAGTAGAGGAGGCAAGGTACATCTGGTCTTTCGAAGTTTAAACGGCCCTTTCCATATGTCTTCTGATTTTGCCTTTTTTCCATCTAATCAAGACCCTGTTTGTTATTGAGGCGTATCTCCTATAACCCCATTCCGCGCCTCCCAGATACAGGCTGCGGCGGCGTTCGTCCGTCCGTCTTTTGAAACAGTGAAACAGTAAGAGCCTGCCCAAGACGCGAGCTGGAAGCTAAGAACAGATAGGAACCCTGGGTTCGGTGAATTACTCGTGTAGCGAGAGGGCTTCGTGCGGCCTTGACGGGTTGCCATTGACCCTTTTAAATCTTCTGGTGGAGGTGGTAGCTTGAATGAGGGCTTTTAGACTAAAAGGGTCGCGATGGGTGTGGGTGCAGGCCTTAGAGAGTCTTAGGGCGGTGTTAAGGATATTGTCCAGGGGTGGTGATAGGGGATTAGGGAGTCCCCTACCTTCCTTTGCAACTGCGGAGAAGTAGTTGGGCGAGAGGCTAGAGATTAAAGCTGAAAAGAAATTGAGTGCTGGTTAAGGAACAGCTTATCATGTTCGAGCAGATGTTGTATGCGAGACTCGCCGTGACAGAGAATGAGCAAAATGTTATATGGGACAGCAGGAGGCGAGGGACTTTGCATCGACCATCTAGGGACATTACAGCACAATCTGTACGAACTTCGATTAATGTGCTCAGGGTTCTCACTGACTGTGAGAACAATAGCCTGACATTTCGATCGACGATCCTACTTCGGTGAATGTTGGTTGACCTGTTGCCCCATCGATAACGTCGGAAGAATGTGGACGAAGTCAGGGGTATGTGGTAAAGCAAGCCTTATAAGATACACACCTCACGGGTAGCTTAGAATTGGACTTCGGAGTTCAACGTTCCCTTTCGAACTGATGGGGTTGGGAGCGGTTCAGGAGAGCCTTCATAATCGGGTATTTACCCAAAGTTCTTGTCCAACTTCCCCAAACTAAGGTTCTCCTTTTCATTTTTTGTTTTAATAAAAAAACCCTAAGGCTGCCTCTAATTTCTTGATTCAAGACACAAATTCGTCATCATGGGCAATTAGATGAACTGAAACTCTTCATTTGTATCGTATATGTGGTCGTCTGTATAGGAAACATGTCAAGCCAAACTGATCACCCGGAAAACATGGTCCTGTCATATCTTATGTACTTTACAGCATTGCTCCCCCCCCCATTTTCCCTTTAGAGGTTTTAGCTCTGCAAATCCGAAGATACGGAAGCTTTGAGCCCTAAAAAGCCTGTCGGACAGGCTACATGCAGCCTTTCTCCAGGTCCGTTCATTTGTATCGTGTATCTAACTCCGCGACTCCCGCTTCCTTTAGATTCAACAACATTCCTGTTTATAAGCCACTGCTATTGTACTGATGCCGCTCCTACGACGAAATGCCTTGTAGCTTCGCAAGTATCTATCCTGAAAACCAAGTTAATCCAACCACAA